ACACATATACAGACAAGCTGACCTATCCTTGATCTGTACAGTGAGCCCTGAGGAGCTTATGGATACACTCACAAAGAATGATGTCAGTTCGTTTAAGGCTATGTAGTTTTGTATTGTTGCATATCCCTATTTGCATATACACATAGTCCCTACCTATATCTATTGATTAAGAGAGCACAAAGTCAGGAGCACAGATGCCCTGGACATCTTTGGAGCATCAGGATTTTTACCACTTCTCTATAGTTGATATAGAGCTCTTAAGTTTGGAGATTGATTCAGCCACCCCTCTGATGGAGGCTAAATTTCTCCACCTCTTGGTCGTATTGCTTCTCCAAGCCTTCCCGCACCTTGTCCTTTAGTCCATGGTTTTCCTTGCCCTTCGAGGTTCCTCTCCACATGTTCTCACACTTAGCTCAAAAGGAATTCCCTCACATTGAACTATTATTGTGATTGCTTTCTGTTTATAGATATGAACAGGTCCATTGTTTTGGAGGGTTCCACAGATTTCTGCTGTTGAGCACAATAGAGTTTAAGAATTTCACATTTTACAAACTAGAATATTGGCTTTTGGCTTCAGTTGCCGTTTTTGACTTCATGGAAACAAGAGCAGAATTGGTTAAATGGAGAGTCGTGAAGTTAGTGGTTGAGCTACAAAGTGACAAATATATACTTAAACATACAGCAGAGGTTTGTGGACTGACACTAAAACCCATCTGGTCAACCTTAGATTGTTTTGGAAAAAACTATTTAGGAGCTTTGATATTTGTTCAGCTGTCTTATTGTTTTTTCCCAAAGTTTGTTCTGAATTTTGTTTTGTCTCTGACAGGTGGATACCCTGCACCGTGCTACACACCTGACGGGCGGCTATGAGGAGCTGTCGGGTAGTGGCCTCTACACCCCTCATCGCCTGGATGTGAGTATCAACTAAACTAACGGCTCATTTTGTGGACAACCTAGTAAATAAGTTGCTCTAACTAAAACTGGGTAGACAAACTGCCATCTATCGAGGGTCTTTCTATAAAATCCCCCGAGGCACATTTTTGAACATAGACTTCTTCTTTATCATGAAATCACCTTCAATACTTTCTTGGATGTGTCTATAAGCCAATAGCTGCATCTAGCTGGTAACGGGTTTAAAAATTGAATGCAGGAATTTTGAACTTGAGAAAAATCTGTGATTGCATGCACTTAGGTCATGGATATAGCCGGCTTTCCCAAGTAAACTATTTTATTTTTTAATCTGGGCAGGAGATTGAGGTCTATATTTTATTGTGTGTTTGATAATTGACTACAGAATGTGATTAGTTTAGACAATTTCATGTAGCTTAGCGACCCCATATGTACTATGACTAAGGTCTCTGTTTCTTTTGCAACACCTTTTCCTTGCTGATAGTCAGTTTAGCATTTTTTGCCAGTTTCATTTGCATCATTTGAATGCCTAATCTTTGGACTTTAATTGTCTACAGTAAATTATCTTTTCTTTGTTTGTTGTCATGACCACCCCCGACTTCATTATATTGAAAATGCACAGTCACCATTGTATTATCTTATTAAGGCTATCGGAGCTAAACAGACACTTATTGAAATGCATGTATTCAAAATTAGCTCCGTCTATAAGGACTTTGGTTAGGAACTGGAGGGTTGCAGGTTAGGTTTTGTGTGGAAATTGGGCTGGTAGGTAACCCCCAACTGCTTGAGTGTCATGTCCCTGTGCAGCCCCCTCACTCTGACATCTCTCCAAAGGTGTCAAAGTGTAATTACTGGCCTGTTGAAAATTACTACGCTGCATGTAAAATTCTTCGCATTACCTGTATAACAACATTTTCTGAGCAAGAATGTAGAATGTAACTAGCTTGTTTTAACAGCTGGATAGTTCTTAGACTTAACATTGTTAGTAAACTGTTGTGAGACAGCATAATCTGCTAGTGAATAAAAAAGTACCCTTGTTATGATAAACTCTTTCCTCATGTGTATCTCTCTCCCTTCCTTACTGATTGCAGGCTAACAGCTGGCAGGACACCACCAACCCCCACTCGGTCACCTCTCCTCCTGGTCCTCCTGGCAGTGTCCACTCCGACACCTCCAACTGATTTGGTGGCTCTCACTGCCATGACTCCATTCCGACTGCGGCCTGAGTTGACTACCATCCTCTGTCCTCATTTCCACTATTCTCTCGCCTCTCAACTAGGCAGCCACACAAGGCTGTACTCTCTTTTCATAAAACACAGACCGTGCTGGAACACAGCACAGTTAAACAGTAGTCAAGAGATATTCTGCCTCCACCTCACTGCTCCACTTCAATGCAAGAAGCTCCCTAACTCGGAATAAAAGAGAGATGGAGCCTTTTGATGCTGAGACGGAAAGAAAACATCTTCATATCAAGTACATTTTGAGAACCACTGACCCAGCTGTGTAGATGATCATGATGTCTGTACATTATGTGTATATGCACGCTAACTTCACACAGTAATCACACAGCTTGTCATTTGCTGTTGGCCTCTGCACTCAACCCTTTGCTTTGGAAAACTGTGTGTGATTGCCTGTATCTTTTGAAGCCTTGGCATTTGATAGCCAAACTGTTGATACAGATCACCAGGGAGCTCTGCTCAACTTGCTCGTACCAAAGTGCTACCCCAGTGGTTGTCAACACATCTGTATCTCCAAGATCAGCCTTTCCCTTTTCAAAACAAGACCCTGTTTTATCTACTAGTACTTCTAGCTATTTCATTCTGTTGGAGATTTCTAAGAGAAGAGTCAAGAGATGCACAAATGTGCACACACACTCCTTTCATAACACACACACCCTCAACTTTTCAGTGATTTTCATAGTGAGCTGACATAAAAGATGTGTCAAGCACAAAGTTAGCATCCTCGTTATGAGTGTTTCTACCTATAAAAGGGTAGTAAAGGGGATCACTGTTCCAGATCAGACAGGACAGGTGATAATAGGGCTGGTGGAAAGAGGAAGAATAGGCAGAGAGGAGAATATCTTTGGTTGAGTGGCTGTAACAGTAGCCCTTTTTTGTTGCTAACCAATAGAGGGTGTTGGTAGATGGCTTGTAGACTTAACTTCTTGCTTTCTGTCCACTAGTTTATTTGATTGTAGGCTATTTTCTAATGCTGTTTCACCAAGAATGCACCAGCCACCACCAAAAATGAGCTCAATAAAGCATCCAAACAACTTGGGAAGAAAGATTGTGGGGCATCGATGTGTTACTGGGACAAACGTGATATGAATATAGAAACGTGACTGTCTTCCATGCATGTAGGACTTCTAGGCGTGATTTTATTGTTTTCATTTAACCTTCCAAGTTTTTAGCGTCGTTTTTATTCACAAAAAATAAAGGGTATAATTATTACAGTCAGACCAAAAAGGAAAAAGTGCATCATGTTCATGATGTGTGTGTCTCTGTGTGGGCGTGTGTACAGTGTTCTTGGGATGACCTAGTCAAACTGGCTGGTGCCCTGTGACCTTTCTAAGCATTATAAGAGACTGGGTGCTTCCACCAGCCAATGACACACCAGGTTGGGTTCGACTGAGATCTCCTTCCCATCTTGAAACATTTAAGCTTGTGAGCCCGAGGCAACACACTACAACCTTCTGTTGTGTATCAAAACCAAAAATACCACGTTCAGCAATGTAATAATGCTACTCTATGTCTCTCCGAAGTTGGTGCACAGCCACATTTTCAGCTGAGGAGAGGAGGGAATTATATTTGTATCTGTGTCTCTGTGTGGTGTTGTCATGCCTCAAGTTGATTTGATTTTCGGGGGTTTTTGTTGTGGGGCTTCATGGGAGGGTGGGTGGAGTGAGGACTCGTATCACACCTGCAATTTGATTTTGAGCATGGGAAGTATGCTCTCCCCTTAATTCATCCTTTAATACCTTCTGGTAAAACCGTGACTTTCTTTTTTTTTTTTTTTTTTAGTTCTTTGGCCAATTGGGCAAGGGCTTCTCTCTCTCCTCTGTTACCAAAAAAAGAGGCAACACTGGGTGATGTAAAACTCTTGACTTGTGTTTCAGACAAGCCTGCAACATTTTGGGGGATTTTCATTCTTTGGAACTATTTTATACATTAACTGTTATGTGAATAACAAAGCATTTTGATAGTAAGGTAAAGCCTTATGAAAATGTAAGTGTCAGTCCAAACTTTGTTGAACCATGTTACAGAACAAAACTTGAGCTTATACGCCGGTCATACGTGCTATCACACATCCAAGTACTTCTTTTGTTACTCATCGCAGTTCATACGAGTGTATCTTATGAATAACATTATCACCACACCAAATTCTCATCCTTCCCTCTTTTCTACCTGTTGTAATGGATGTCACTGTACAGTTTGTGTAATGTTTCAGTATTTCTTTGTTTTCTTTTATAAACTTTGACGTTTGGTTGAGATGCCAGTTTTATTTGGCCTCTGTGTCACAGGATTCACGATTACTCTGTATCAACTTTGAATATTATTTAGGTCTTTTGTTACATAACCTGAAGGCAATGAAGGGTTTACAGGTGTAACATTTGGTGCTGTGGAAAGATCAGTTAAGGTTCTTTTATGGACACTTGGTATGTTTTGATGTATAGATTTATGGATCCCCTTCCGTTGCTATTTTTCAGACTTCCTCAGAAACACTCACTTTGGATATTTGTGCGTCATACATTTCTAAACCTTTTCAAACCGGCTCATAGTCAATGTAATGAGTGAAAGTTAAATGTAAATGAGCTGAAGTGTAACTACATTTAAAACCTTACTTCAAACTCTTGACGCCCTGTAACAGCTTTAAGCTCACTCATAAAACAGGTGCTCTACACTCAGCGCCTTCATTCATGTCAACCCCCCTTCAAAAATATGTTCAAACATATGGATGCCTGAACACTTTGGTTGTCAAATGATTTAATGTGGTCCCCTTTCATTTTACAAAAAGTTTATTATGCTTAAACTCTTCTCTATTCTGCAAGTGACACATTTCCACAGCACCAAATAGATCCTTAAACCTTTCTGATTTTTTTTTTTATTAGTATATTTGTATCTCCCCTCTTTCCCTTGTATTTACCCCTCTCTCTACCTCTGTCTTTCCATTTCTCTTGTATATAACCCCCACTGTTTTCAGACTGGTGAGTCTGTATGAACTCCTTTTATACCTCAACTTTAGAATTGTTCTAGAAAGAGTCAAACAAAAGGAAGAATATGACAAATTGTAGTGTTCTTATTAGAAAATTAATAAAATGATTTAGTGTGATTTTTTTCAGTATTTGATTTCAGATTTTAGAAGTGTTTCATTTTTATAATTTGTCACAGATGCTCTTGTGATAGTCAAATGTAATAAAAGGAGAGATTGCACCATCTGATGATGAATACGTGAATCTGTCAGCCTCCCTGACACTGAGTACTATTTATCCACAACCTGCAAATCATGAATCCAGAGGTGCAATGAGTTGCAGCCTTTCAACAGATGCATCTTTATACATTTTGTATTCAATTTAGAAATGCAGACATGTTTGGCCAAAGTTCTCTCTGCACAGAAGAGCAAAAAGTCAACATTACACAATGAGAGATTACAGTAAAAAAACAAAACAAGGATCTGTAAATGTAGACCTGCAGATATCATGCCCTGCCATCGTCCAACTGTCCTCTTAATTGTTTGTTTCCACACAGGCAGCTTGACCGTCTGACTTCTGCACACAGCCCAGAGTCTCCTGCAGACAAAACCATTTATTAGTGTGACATGACGTAAAGGACATTTAGGCTATTAAGTAAATAAGGACCCATTTATTACAATCACTAGTAACAAAATCCACATTGAGTAACTATATGCACCACAGTAAGAACACAAGACTTGAGTAGGAATTGCTCTGTTCCAGTGTAAGCCACTGTACAGTGGCTGATAGTGTCAGAATAATTTAGCTAAATAAAAACCTGCATGACCAACAAAGAGGGAATGTAAGGAACAAAAACCCTACAGCGAGATAGTTTATCAAACATCAGAATACTGGCCTTTTCAGAGTCAGAGATCAGCCTGACTGAAGTGTCCAGTGAGTAAGGGTATAAACCATATAAACTCAAACATTTTACAGCTTGTTTGTTGTACTGAATGTCAATAGCCTGAAGGATAATGAAACTCTGTACCTCAGGCAGTGGTGAAGCAATCTCCACAGGGGAGTGTTTCCTCTGCTGGCCAGCACTGCTGCGACACAGGCAGCAAAGGATCCACTCGAAGGTGCTTCGCATCTCGTCATCTCGCAGGGAATAGATGATCGGATTGACCAGAGAGTTGCACTCCGCTATCACCAAACAGAACTTCTCGTAGGCATTGGCATGGCTGGCTTTACCCAGCAGCCCGTCCAGTAAGAGTGTCATAAGGCCAGGTGTCCAGCAGATTACAAAGGCGCCTGCAGACATGTCCCATTTGAATGAGTCAGAAAACAGTCAACAATAATTAACTTGAAATCTTAGACATAAGCAGGGATGTAACATGACACTTGTCTCAAAATGCACCAAGGATGAGTAAGATTTGTACCTAGCCTGCTCAGGCTCATGTCGACTCATGTCCGTGAGTAAACATTGATATTAAGAAATCAAAGACTATAAAGATTATAACAAGAAGTTCCACTTCACTGTGAAACACTTTAAATTCCAAACAAGCGTCTGACTAAGAAGGCCGACTGTAATCCGATGACGAAACACTGCTAAAGCTGCAAAACTGGATTGTGCAGAAGTGAGAGGACAAAGTTATCAAGCATCACAAATCAACAAAATGGTGTCTCTTGTATTTTTTAGATATTTTTTTTTACAGACCTGTGCTTTTGGGGAAGAAGGTGCTCAATGTATTTATTTTGAAGTTTACTAATAACAAACTAAATCAGACAAAAAACAGCAGAAGATGAACACACAAACAACATCTCACCCAAAACCATGGAGATAGTTTTCATCAAGTTGACAACGGTCTGGCTGTGCCGGGCCTCTGAGGAGTGCTGAGATGTGTATCTGCTCTGATATCTCACATAGATGAAGATGCGGGCGTACACAGCCACCATGATAAAGAAAGTGAGCAGGTTGAGAACTGCCCAGAAAATGAGGAAGCGACGACTGTAGAGGGGAGCGACGGTGGAGCAGTCCTCCAGATCACACTCACAGTTCCAAACAGTCGAGGGCACCAGGCCCATGATGACACTCACGACCCAGATGCAGACTATCAGCAGCACCACACGCCGCTTGGTCATCGTGCTGTGTAGCTGCATGGTGATGATGGTCTGGTGGCGCTCCACTGCCACAGCTAGCAGATTAGCCACAGAGGCTGTGAGGCTGATGTCAATCAAAGCCCCACGGATGTACCACTGCTCCTTTGTGAGCGTGCTGGTCCAGGGTCCAGTGTTCAGCATCAGGTTGGCATAGGCGATGCCTGCAAACAGGTCTGCCGCAGCCATGTTACCAAGGAGATAATAGATGGGGAAGTGGAAGCGGTGGTTCATGAAGATTGCTGCCATCACCATCAGGTTTGCCAGGACTACAATGAGACATACTGTCAAGCCCAGTCCAAGAACCACATAGTCCCGCGGTGTCCACACTGTGCTGATCTTCTTACCCACCAAGTTGTAGAAGAAGGTGACATTGTGGCTGTAGTCACAGGTATTCCACACACCACTTTCTATGGCCATCACTGCAGATATATAACAAGACAAAAGTTTAGATATGATGTTCCTGTTGTCTGAGGATAGTTTCATTCCCCGTAACTCAAATAAGTAACTTTAAACTGAATATCAGAATAACTTCAAAGTAATGATCAAACACTCTTTTTTCCTGTTATAAATATGCATTTAATTAACACAACATTATTAAGCTAATCTGTTGATTTTGAGAGTCATGACTTTTGCTGTCCCATAACAAGATACTCCTACATTCCACCCACTGCTTCAGTGTTTTCAAGAGACCCTGAACAAGATAAACATCAACAGTAGACAATTAACAATCAATTATGTTATCTTAAAATGCTGTAGGATATAGAAGTTGGAATCGTAATTTCAAAATGTGAAACCTTTAGATCCATCATTTAGTTCAACCAACCACCCAAAACTTTAAAATAAAAATAAAGTTAATCTACATCTAGAGCAGCAACATGAGAAATATAGGCCTAAAAGATGATCCATGTTAGTGAAAGTGAACTTAACTTAACTTAAGGTAACTTTCATTGAAACATGAGTTACTGATGACAGGATATTTTCAACACCAGAAACAGAAATCACAATGAATTAATTGAAACCTACCGGCGTCTTTAGGGTCTCCTCCATCCAGACAGCTCGGATTAAAAGTGCGAGTTACAAGCTGATGAAACAGCTTCTCATCAGTGCTACTCTCACTTCTGTGCTTCCAGGCGACGGAACAGTTTCAACTCGACGCCTGTAAATCATTTTCACTCAGATCAGCTGCACTCGACGAGTCGACGGACAGGTAGCGGTGCTGCCTTTATCTGCAGCCTGAAAAATCGGAAAACACATACACGCACACTCAGTCGCTTGATATTGATTGTGCCTTTTAAAGGGAGATTTGATTGGGATACTAAAATGTCGTGTTCAAAGTAACATTGTCGGTATTTAAAATGTCATCATAAGAAACTGCATTCATTTAAATAACTTTCTGTAAGACGTTCCTCCTGAAGACTCCTGAAGTGGTTAAAGAAAGTATGCCAAAAGTAAAAAGTCATTATCAAAACTTTGGCCTCTTTAAATGTTTTCTCATTACACTTAGTAGGCTAATTTAAATGAGTTACTTGAAAGCGGAAAAACATAAAAACCCAGACACACCCTGAATGAGATTGATTGAAAACAATAACTTGCACGTTACAAAGGCCTAGACCCAACCTATAAATACTGGCGGTGACAATTTTCAAGAGCTTTATTATGTATTCACTGTCAAAGGTAAAATACAAGTTTTCTCTAATTTCGGAACCCGAAGACCGACGCTTTGTCCTCTTTTACCTCAAGTTTGATAGTACGTGTCATCAGTGTTACTAAGATACAAAACATAACTCTTTCTTCCCCTATTTCATTTTCAAAAGCAGTCAGTAGTATTTTAGTCTCTCGAGTTGACTCGCGACTGCCCTCTGGTGGCCAAAGTGGGGTTCTGCATTACAACACTTAAATTAATCGATTGGTTTCATTAATACGGATGATGGTATTCACATGATTCTGTTGATGTTTTAGATAGAGTATAGTGAGCCTATTCTAAAAATCTAAGGGACTACAGATGAAAGCTAGCCTTTTGGCTAACCCCGGTTTATTTACAGAAATGTTGATTAATATCCACTGTCCCTGTCGTTTAAAAATAAATACATTAAATAAAAAATAGTTAAAATGTAAGCGTAATTACTCGAGCTTATTAACCGAGTTACTAGTTTCCACTGTATAAGCAATATAAATGCGGGATATGAGGCAGAGGTTACCTTTGTTGACGCCTTGGCCACCCACTTTTTTCCAATATCTGTAATTTTGAACATGGACTGTAAATATTTTAGGTTTTGAAGCCCTGTCGCCCTCTGGTGGTCAAGACTGGGGCTGCACTACTGAGTTTGTCAATTTTCCGACAATGCAGACGTAAAGCAAAACTAACTCTTCCGGTGATGACTCGAACTCAAGTCACCAATCTTTATAACAACAGAAACAAACATAGAAAAAATGTCATACTATTCTTTTCAAAGAAATTACTTAAATAGTGATAAAAGATTTGTGTTTATTTCTGTTACGCCTGAAGTATTTCCTGGGTTAGGCTGTATCACAGGCTAGCTAGCTGGTAGAGTCAAAAGACGATAGTTTTTACACAGGTGTTCAAAGCATTATATTTTCAATATCTAAGGAAATTATGGCCTTATTCTAGTCTGTATCAAGTTTTTAGTTTTGATTCTGGTGCTCTGGAGAATCAGCAGTTCGTTTTTATTTATACATTTTATTTAACCTAAAATGTAACATTCATCGAATATCATGATATAAAAAGAGTTTCTACATAAGCTTTGAGTCAATATTTTATTACATAATAACATAGTTAATATTAAGCGGAAGCCGATACCTTGTCTTAATTTGAAAGTCATCATTAAGAATTGGTGCGTTTCAAGCTTTGCATTTAAGTTAACTTGACTAATTAAATATACTGCAGTTTAACCATTTGGCCACAAGAGGGCAGTAGGTCACCATAAACCTTAAAAGCTTAGTTTAAAACCTTAATATTTATAGTCTATGGTTAAAACCACAAACTAGTTTAAAATACTGATGATAATGGGCAAGCTTTCCCCTCCCTTTATTTACTGTGTTATTTATTTAAACTTTTCTTTGTCGCTTTTGTTTTTCACGCTGAGAGTTTCCTATAAAAGATGTCGTCTTACCGTTCGGGAATCCTGCTAGCATAGCTTGCAGAGCCAAAAGACAATCGTGATTTCTGCACCGTTTCAAAGTATTATTCCATTAATAAGAGTACAGCCTGGTTAAAGTGCATGTGATGGACAGTTGTATTATTCAGACTTTAACGCCGACTGAAAGACTGCTGCCCTGTAGTAAATTACTACTTTTAATTAGTGGTGAAAATGTTTTGCACCACAATCATCACGACGTTTTTAATCCATAAAAATCGAACCAAAATAACTGGATAGTTATTATACATAACATACACGTCGAATGACATATAGCCTATGACTTAGTGCACACATTATGAAGTAAACATGGTAGGCCTATTGAACTGACAATGGTAAGATTTAGCAGAAGCTGTTTCCTGATGTCTTAATTTTAAAGTATTTATCATAAGTATTAATGTTTTTCAAGCTGTTTCAAGCTTTGCATAAAAGCTACCTCGACTTTAGTTGTAGTACCTCGTACAACGAACCTGCTACAGTTAGGCCATGTGGCCACAAGAGGGCAGTAGTACTTCACTTATTAAAAAACTTCCCTGGCTAAAATAAACAAAGAAGCCTATTATGCTAAAGGATGCTTTGTCCCCAAAACCAACAAATCAGACTCTCTACTGATAAATAAAATACGCGAATTAAGGCTTTTATTTAGCCTTTTTTTTATTTTTGTTTTATTAACTTTATTAATTGTTGTTTATTTAGCATTAGATTAAATATTATTGCAACATTGTCAACTCTTGTAAAATCTTAAAGCAATGCTGTGTCTGATAAAATTCTATTATTTTATAAAGCAAACCTAAAAAACATTGCTGAAGGAGACTGAAACACAAAAAGTTAATAAAAAGGTGTAATGCAAGTCATCACTTGCTAATAACACATTAAAGTTAGACATGTAACTGTGGTGCAAGCAGACAGTATACAACTGATCTGACAATAACAAAAATAAACACTCATTTAGTATATTGTAAATGGAGGCAAGTAAGATACACTTTTCAGGAGGCGTTTTACATAAAACAAGACAAAGGCAGAATTTAGTTTATTTTTTATTTTCTATAAAACAGATGAGTTTATTCAATGATCATAACAGACTGAACCAGAGACCTCGATAGACCACTCACATACCAAACAATGATCGAGGAAAATGTTTCAACAAAACCCCCAAAACAGAACAAATTGAACACAAAATAAAATACCTGAATAAAGCAAACTCTGGGCTGAGCTGCGGGTCAGCACATTCTCTGTGGAACTCATGGCACATTATGTCCAACAGTTATTGTGAAAAGGGGGGAAAAAAGGGCTAAACAGGAATGAAGTTGTTTATTAACCCTTCCAAAACCAGTCTAATATTAAAAATTCTATACTCATATATATGGTGGACTTCATAGAAATTAAAAAGGTGACTTAAGCACAGAAACAAGTTCTCCTGAAGTACTGTTTATCTGTTTATTCTCTTCATCAATAGAATGCTTATCTACATCGGGGAACATGCCTCCCTGAACCACACACTTAAAAAAACTGAAACAAAACAAACACACGCAGTCACACAGCCTTCCAAATTTACAAAGTCACACTCACAGACCAGACTTAAACGCTAGTGTGGCAACGCTGAAACATATCTACCTAAAACCTGCTGATTGAACAAACAGAGAAAGAAGTTGTCAGGGGATTACACTCATAGAAGTCCAGCTAAACTAAATTTAAAACCCGAATATTGTCAACGGGTAGAATATAAAATGCTGTTCTTTTCCTTTTTTTTTTTTATTGTTTTTTCTTTTTACACAAACTCTTCCAAAAATCTCGCTCCCTGTTCAAATATTACACCAACCGTCCTGACTCACCCCTTTCTTTACTCCCTTCAAGTGTAATATAAGCCAACGAGAATTGCAATACAATACAGGCACTGGAGAAAAACACCAAGAGAGACAAGTGAAGAGGACGAGATGCATTCAGATTTCAACCCATCCCCGGTCGAAACAATGTCTCTAAAAACAGAATTAGAACTCACATCCACTATTATCGAACAAGAACAAAGATAAAAATCAAACGTGTTTTTTCAACATTTTCCGCTTCCTAACTTTTGAAATTGTTTGTCTTTTTATTTTATACTGTTGACAGTGTGCACTCAGTGGACTCGATGACAATTTGATGGGGAAAAGGAAACTGGAGCTCTGTTCGTCACGTTTTCAAAATCTGATTCAAGTAAAAACATAAAGGTTTTAAGTCTTGTATCTTATTGCCCCTAGTATCCCCATCCTGCCTTTGACACACTGGTTAACTTGAGGGTTTTCATCAAATGTCAACAAGCAGAGTGCACAAAGGGGGAACACCAAGGGGCAGCCCGCCTACTCAAAACAAAACTAATCCAGTATTGAACACACCAATGATATGGACATTTCAAACATTATGTCTCAGAAGTTTAATACGATAAATGGTGCAACACTTTTAGTGAAGTCCTATTGAAACTAGAGCCCAGAAACAGCTGGACCTTTCCCTTCTTCGGCTAACAAGTTCCTGTTGTAGCTTTAAATTAAAAACACAAAGAAGGATGAAAACTTTATTCTGTTTATGATAAATACTCGATTAAACTATGATAATGCATATATTCAGGGTTGGTTTTGTCATTAGCTACCTATCTTGTTTTAGGAAAAGTACTTTAGCATAAAAGAGAATGGGTTGTTTGGCATAGACATAGGTGGCGGAGTGTGTTGGTGTGAGGATTCAAAGACCTACAGAGGAAAAGAGAAAGATCCTAAATAAACAGTTATTGTAGTATAAGAAAATACTTCTTTACAGTAGATACTTGATGAAAAAAAGTTTCTGCACTGCTCCTTCTCCAGGCTGTAAATGTTATTGGTTTATCCATGTGTGCAGGCCACAGAACATAATGGTCTGTTTTAGAAACAAGTGTAAGGCAAATTGTACCTTCTCTACTGAGAAATATACATGATTTACAGTATGGAAGCTGACCACCCCCCACCCCGACCATGTCATGTGTTCATGTACAACCATAAAAACAAAACAGAACATAAAAAGACCAGTCTTCTTCACATCCTCAGACATCTGGCAGTTTTAAAACACCTCTGCGCAGTCTGTCAGTACATTATCAGAGCATTTTTATAGATATTGGGATGTCTTTACTCTTGTAAAATATTGTTGTGCCCACAAACACTAGAAGAAGCAAGTGTAAGAAAGGCAACTGTGCCAACAGGGGTCCTCTTTCTCCTGTCACGAGATATCAGGCAGGCAATGCCAAAATCCCAAGAAATGACATCCAAAACATTGAGATGATCCCCATTTGTCTTCAGTCCACTGGGGCAAGATGTGACATTTTGTACTCACGGCCCGTCACATCCACATACAGTCAGTGTCTCTCTGTGGTTCATGGTCACCAAATCTCTATTCAGAGGAAGTTTACATAATCCAAGATTTTTTTTTTTTTTTGCAGTTACGTTTCAGTAGCTCTTCTCTTCAAAACAGGTTCTCCTCAAAGATAGCCATTAAGTCACTTTGGAAATTCATGTCAATAGTTGCTGCCCTCTGGAGAGAGAAGGAACAAAAAAAAAAATCCTTGAATCATCATGTTCTAAAATTTCTCATACAGCTATAAATAACCTGAAAATGTGATTTAATTTAGCACATGTTTAAATTGAGATTTAAATATATGGTGCATAGATGTGACTCTTTGAGTTATTTTTAATCAAGTATGATGCCTGCTGCTGTTTAATATTTTCAAAGATAATCATCTCACCGCTTCTTGCCTTCTCCTCTCCTGCTCTCTGCGACGTGCTTGTTCTCTCTGCTCATCTAGTGGGTTCTGAGCAGAGGGCTGAGGTGGTGTGGGAGGTTGAGGAGGTTGCTGAATGGGGGTCGGCTGGGGCTCCTGCTGCTGCTGCTGCTGCTGCTGCTGCTGTTGTTGTTGTGAAGGAGCTTGGATGTGCTGCTCCGGACGCCTGCGTGGCTCCTCATGCACCCTTCTGCTTGGCTCTATGACGTCATCATCATCTCTACCTCTGAAAAAAATAAAATAAAATACATTCAGCACAAAAAGAGTTACACCATGTGAAGCCAAACAACTCGTAATGTTTTTGTTTTTATCTCCAGGTTTATAAACCATTTAGCTAACTTCGTCTGGTTCGTGCTGTCTGAAATGACACCTGCTGTGCTCAACAATACAGCCACTAGAGGGCATAGTGCATCATCTTATCACCCAGGGTTTCTTTGGTCTGATTTTATTATGAGATATTTTTGTTTTTAATTCATAATGGGGGCGACTGTGGTTTAGTGGGTAGGTAGGTTGTCTTTCAATTGGAATATTGGCGGTTCAGTCCCGACTGCTGCAGTCTACATATTGAACTCTCCTTGACACTAAACCCCAGATTGCTCCTGATGCCATCAGCCAGCCGCACAAGAATGTGTAAGAATGGAATAAGTTAAAACAGACTGTAATTTTACAAAGCAAAGCAGCATCACCATCAGTGTGTGAACATGGTGTGAAGGTGGCATGTAGTGTAAAAGCTCTTTGAGTGGTCAAAGACCAGAGCTATATAAGTACTGAGGCAGTGCTTTAAACCAGTTGAAGCTCTGAATCAATCTGTAATCAAGATGAATGCAGCTTTAAATAAAAACACTGGCAACCACACAAAAATGAATATTTCTAATGAGTTATTATAATAGTTAGATGAACCCTTCTTGCTGGTAGAAGTGACAAGGCATGCGAGGGGTGTTGTAGTTTGAAAGGTTGAATCATAACAGAAACACACAATCTGGACAGCAACAGGCACAAACCAATAAGTATCTAACCTCTGAATTTAGCCAAGTCATAATATCATGTTCTGGTACACAAGACACACATACACACACTTTCCTGTTAAGAGACAGTTGTCTGTCCAGGAAACTTCTAGGACATGGTCTTTATATAGCACAGATGTTGTAATTGCTCAGTGTGTTGATTGCCCATAAAAGGATGATTGGGATGTTATAAAAGAACTGCTCCGAGAGAAATAAACAGATCCTCGATTCACAAGCCATACGTCTCTGTCTGAAGAGCATTTACTCTTCTACAGGGGAAGGCTCTCTTCTTTTAAACTGCTCTTTATGGCATGGATTGCTGTAAACCTACATATTGTATTTGCCTCATAACTAATTATGTTGAGCAAATACACAACAACTGAAATAAAGGCTGATTTCTTCAAAACAACTGAATTACCGGTACTTATGAGGGAAACATTGCAGTTATCTAAATATTTTTTCCCCACTCTTCTAGCCACTCTTACCGTAGTTTATCCTGCTCTCTCCGTAGTCTGTCTTTTTCCGCCTGCTCGGCTTGGGCCTTAAGGGCTTTCTCCCTCTCCTCTTTCTCCCGGGCAGCACGACGGAACTGCTCAAAGCTGTCACTCGATGACTTCACCGCAGATAAAGGCGTAGATGTGGACTTTTGTGCCAGACTTGCCCATGAGCCCATATTCTTCAGTTTTACATCCTAAAAAAGCACACACACAGACAGGAAAATAGTCAATAATCTATTTGCAAAAAAATAAAAAAAGATTTAAAGATTTAATCAAATAAAGGACAGATAATAATAACTGAAAGAGCACATTATTTTTTATTTCAAAGTTATTTTCATGCCCAAGAGGAGACACTTTAAAAAAGTTACTATTACACCTACTTGTACTTTTTTGGAGGAAACGGGGGCCTTGGATTCTTGCTTGAACTTATCCTTGTTTTGCAGTGAGGAGGGTGGGCCACTGGGCTCAGAGGACCGGATGACAGGTCGCGAGCTGTCCATGGACTTCACATCTTCTCAAAACAAGGACAAATACAAACAGACAAAGCTCAATATCACGTGCAGCTTCTTAATATGCATTTCATCCACAGAAGCCAGGAAGAAGAAGAAACAAAAAAAGACGTCTCGTTACTTACTTTGTTGGCCATGGCTTGGTTGAGAAGGCTTGCAATCAGGATGTTTGTGATGTTCTGGTCTCATTGCAGGGTTAAATGGCTCCCCTCTCATCACTGGTGATAGAGGACGTTTGTCCTCTTTTAATCCACCTTGACTTCCAGGGGCCCTCTGCTGCATTACAAGAAACATATTATTTAGGGGGAACATTAAGTGCGGAGCTAGTGCTATGTTTTAACATGCCTGTTTTCAATTTCTCACCTTTTTGGACTGCATGTTGTGAGGGGGAGAATGGTGAGAGACAGGTGGGTACTGAGGGAGTTGTGGGGAATGCATCATTAGAGGGGAAGGGTTGTCCCTTACGTTACCTGTCAAGACAAAGGAGGTGAGTAAAACTTAGGCTGACATAATGTTATTTTACAACAGCAGTTTTACCTCTACAAAAACCTTTTTCCTCATCTTCCCAGACTCACCGGTGTTGTAAGGGTCTGCCTTGGTCATGCGAGGGGAGGGCTGTTCTGGTTGCTGTTGGATGATCTGCTGTGCTTTGTTGGTGGGCATGGATACCTTGTGTTGTGATCCCTGGGACTGACCAGCTAGTCCAGGACCCTGCTGGTAGTTAAGCTGCTGTGGTTGCTGCTGAACGTGCTGCATGTGGCGGGCTTGGTGCAGAGGCATGTGTTGGGATGGTGCCTGATGTGATGGGGCTGGTTGAGCCTGGGACTGAACAGGAAGCTGGGGAAGAGGCAGTGTGGGTTGGGAGGAGAGTTGCGATTGTGCCTGAACAGATTGTAGAAGAGAAGCCTGTCCTGGCTGGGGTTGTATTTGTTGCTGCTGTTGCTGACGAGCCTGCACCTGTAGCGACTGCATGGACTGCTGAGGCTGGCGGGCTTGCTGGAACTGCTGCAGGTATAATTGTACTTGGTTCATAGGTGTTGTAGACCCTGGCTCTTCGTCATCCTCAAGCAGCATCTGGGGAGGTTGGGAAGACAGCAAGCCCTGGGGTGTGAGTGTTGGAGGGGACATGGGCCGCTGGTGAAGGGGTTGAGGAGGGTGGAGGATCTGAGAAGAGAGCTGGTGCTGCGGAGGTTGAGGCTGGGGCTGGGGCTGAAGCTGCTGCTGCTGCTGCTGCTGTTGTTGTTGTTGTTGTTGTTGTTGTTGTTGTTGTTGTTGTTGTTGCTGTTGTTGCTGTTGTTGCTGTTGTTGCTGTTGTTGCTGTTGTTGCGGCTGCGGCTGCTGCAGGGTTGGCTGCTGTTGGGGAGTTGTTGGTTGCTGCTGAGGGGGTTTGGGATGAAGTGGGGCTGCCTTGTGACTAGGTCGAGAAGGCTGCTGAGGCATGGTACTGTGCAAGGCTAGGGATGAAAGAAGAAACAAAGACAATAAATAAATACAAATTTGTATTTAAAGAATTCTCTTCCCACGTGAGATTTAGCTGTGTTTGTGGGGGGAAAAAAACAAAAGTCAAATTTGAAGCATTTGTATGTGTAAGTTAAAGGTTATTTTTTGTTGAAAATGTTTAAGGAGTTAATAAAAATGTTCTGTCCTGTAAGGATTAGTTTTCCATAGTATAAGGCAATGTTGTATTGCAGGTTATTACACCATATTCTCTGTAAAGAACAAAAACTCTGACATTAAAAAGTGCCAATTCAACAGATTGGGTGTGATGTGAGTTTTCATAGATGCTGTAGGTTACTGAAAGTTAAAAATGAAAACCAAAGTGTATTTTTTTAAATTTCACTCTCTGCTCCCTATGTTTCCTGTGGCTATCTACTGCCCTATCCATACAAGGTATAAATGGCTCAAAAAAGACCTGCAAGATGCTGAAATTGGCCATCACAAAAGCTTAAAAGTATCAAGTAATCTGTTTTGATATTTATCACATTATGTGCAGAAAATCAAATGGGGACTGGTTGACTTTGTAGGAGCCATGATACTTTTCTTTTTCAGGTACACCTAGAGAAACAATGTAGCCATAAGTACTTGATCAAATGTTCAGTATCCTGCATAAAGTTTTACCTGGAGATGTTAGGATGGGATGCTGGTTGAGGAAGGGGTGGGTCTCAGGAGACACTGGCCCAGCAGAGTGAGTGTTGAGATGTGGTGGTGCAGGTGAGGAAGAGTTGCCTGTGTGGTGGGATAGATGCATGAGAGGCTGTCCAAAAGGTGGCAGGGACTCAAAGCTAGTCTCCAGTAACTGTGAAGACTCCAGGGCAGCTACAGGGGGTACAATAAAGCCTGCAGGAGATGGTTGATGCTGTTGCTGAAGGTGTTTTAACTGACTGTTGGACTGAAGTCCTGCAGCTTGGGAATGAAGTCCCATCTGAGCAGGGCCACTCTGAACGTGAGAATGCGTCTTCTTCCCATCCTTCACAGACTGACTCTTCTTCTTCTGCTGCTTTATCATTCCTGAAAAAAGAAAGAAAAATTAAGATTAGTCACATAAAATCCTGCTTCTGAACATGGGTATTTAAGAAGACGAAATTAACACCACGTCACCTGTGCCCTCTGCTTCACTATCTGTGCTGGAGCCACTACTCTCTGAGGAGGATCCAACTTTTTTGGATGTAGCCATGGACTCCAAAGGCTTCTCAACTGCAAAAAAACAAACACTTTGGGTCAATGCACTTCCACAACAAAGTATCAAATAGCTTGTTAAACTAGATAATCACACACAACAGTGTTCAAACAAAGTAAAAGTAAAGTGTCCTAAAGTGGCTAACCTGCAACTTTTTTCTTCTTGCGAAGACAGGTAGAGACATATCTCTCAAGTTCACGTAGAGTGGAAGGCTTCAGTGTCTCAAAGTCAATCTCAATCTCATCTGGGTTTGAATTTTTTAGTGAAGGCTCTCTGGACTGGATGATATGCACTACACGGCCAAGCTTGTCACCCGGAAGCTTGTTGATGTCCAAGCTAAGCTGCCTCTTCTCCTCGTATGTCATAGGCTTGCACTTTTCCCCCGAAACAGATGACCCAGCTCCCACCAGGTCGTCTTCTAGGCTGGGAATTGGCTGTAGGTTGGAGGGATGGTTGATTTTCATCCCTTCCTTTTTACTACAAGAAAAAAAATATAATAATATGTAAAATAGTATGTTTTTATAAGTAAAAAAAAAAGTGAAAAGTTATACACACATCTAAAAACAAAGCCCTAAGTGTTATACAACTTAACACACATTTTTAACTTTATAGTTGAAATAGCATATTGAAGACCACCTAGCGAAGAATGCACCATAAACTGTAAGAAATCAACAAATTGCCCTACGTTAGACAATAAAAAAAACTGTATGCAAATATCTTCAACTTGGAAATATCCCCAAAATTACACATAAACAGAAAAACACAACAAGGTGGACACCAAATTAAGAAAGGGTAATAATGAATTGTGCAAACTCAAGCTGCTCCTAACTGCACAACATGGAGAAAGTACAAGAGAAATATGTACCTGGGTTTCTTCTTGGGTACAACTTCTTTGATGTTATTGTTATTGGTCTTTGTCTTCTTGGACAGCTGTGGAACAGGTGTAACATCCTGGATCTCGTCTATAAGGCCAGGCATGCCCCCTTTCTTCTTATACTTGTCTTTTTTCTTATCCTTTTTTTCCTTCTCTTTTCGCTTTGGTTTGCTGGCTTGTGGTTGGGACAGGGCAGCCAGCTGCTCGTGGACAGCTTTCAACTGTGTCAAGAGAAGAGACTAGTTCTCAACATTGAAAGACAAGGAACGGAACACAAGTTTGCCCCCACCACCTTACTTAGCTACTCACTGACCTGTTCCTGAAGCTCAGCCAATCTCTGAGCTCTTTCCTCTTCAGAGTCATCTGTTGAAGATTCAGATTCGGAAGACGAGTCACTGGAGCTGTCTGAAGACGAGGCGACATGGGCGAGAGGTGGCTGGGGCTTAACAGGGGCAGGATGGTGAAGACTAGGGGCTGGGTTAGAAACGAGAGGCTTGCTCTCAGGTTCATCTGGCATCTTGGCAAAGCGCATTTCAAAGACATCCTAAAATTAGACACAAAAAATAAAAAAGCTGTCAAGACATTACAGCAATAAACATATTTTGGTATGGACATTTTTAGTTTGAGAAATACTGGTCAAGTAAAAACATAAACATATACAACAAATAATTGTTTACTTTATTTTTCTAGTAAAAGAAACAAATTTAGCAAACAATTAAATTCAAACAAATTATGGGTCCCGGATAGCCTAGCAGTTATGTAGCGCCCAATGTACGAAAGCTGCAGTCCACATTTCAGCACCCATAGGTTCGAATCAGACCTTGAGCCTTTCCTGCATAACATCCCCCACTCCAATCATCTCCTTTCTCTCTTTAATTACGGCAAATTAGCTCATTTGTCTCTGAGAGTGAGGATTTGCAAGTTAGAGTTTAATTGATGCTCGAGACCCATAAAATAATAAAAAATTCTGAGATACAGGTCTTCCCCTTAATACAAGACAAACAATACAAATCCTGATGGCTAAACACTTTTTTGTCTTTTAACAAGATTGATTCAAGTCTACATAGATGAACTGCCCACCATGCCCAACATTGTTTGCATCCGAGAAAACATTTACCTGTAGCTTCCGTGCCATAGCTACCACCTCATGGTCTGGTGGATTATACTTGTAGCAGTTAGAAAACATTAATCGTACATCAGCAGCAAACTCCTGGGGTTCCCGGTATTGCCTGTTCTCCAACTTAGCCTATGGAACAAAACAAGAATATTAAATACTTGCAGTGACAGAAAACCCTCTCTCCTATTGTTTTGTGATACTGTTGACAAACTATTCAACACACCTTGATGGAGCTGAGGTCCATTGGATGTTTAATGATTTCATGATAATCATGTAGTCCCAGTGCATCCACGTCAACAGGTGAGTAAAAAGGCCAGGCATAAGCAGCATGCTTCTTGGACAGCATGTCCCTAACCAAGCTTGCGCAGTATCCCAGTTGATCCTGTGGTTTTGGGCTATGACCTCCACTAGGTGCACCCAGTCCTATCCCAGTGCCTATTTGATGCTGGGAGTCTGGAGCTTCCTTCTTTAGAAGTTTTGTAGGTCGGGTACTCTCTCGCCTGGGCAGCGTCTTCCCAGATTTAGACTCTGCTGGTGAAGACTCACTCAGTTGGTCATTCGCTGTGGGAGTTGTAGTGTCTGCTTTCCTTTTCTGGCTCTTTCTTTGCTAGATAAGTGTAATATGAAGAAAGCAGAACATTTAGCATAAGTGCAAGCAAGGTTGTGATAAGAATGAGATGCTGAAACTTAAACACAACTTTTTAATTCTTGCAAGCATGGTCAAAAAATGTGCCTGACTACCCATGCCTATTTCCCTGTATTGGTCATACTTACTTTGGTCATAGTTATAGAGTTCTGCAGCATGGGGGCAGGGCTCTGGATGGATGCTGGGGGAAGGACAATCTGAGCAGGGGGAGGCACAGAAGTCATGATGGGAACTTGGGGAGCACAGTCTGATTGGCCCAGGGAGTAGGGAGCGCCAAGCTGTGGCGCATGGCTTGACAACATTGGGGGCACTAGGGTTGGCATGGCCTGCATCAAAGGCTGGGGAGGTAGTGAAGGCGGACCCTGCACTGGTGCTCTGATTTGGGGTGGTGCTGAGAGATTTGACAGACCGCGTGTTTGAGGAGTCGTGGACGATGCATCCATGATGGCCCCAGGTTTTAAGTTCAGACCTAGGTGAGAAAACATAACACCAGGACAAACATCCCATTCACAGAGTTAAGCTCAAAAACAGCTTGTGGTGACAACAAATGTGTCATAGATACAAAAAGGTATACCACATACCTGCATCCCTTCGGCCCCTGCCACGTCCCTTCCCTGTCATGACAACAATCTCTGTTTCTTCCTGAGGCATTTCTGTGATCTTTTGAAGGAAAGCCTTCTCCAGAGCCTCAGCCATTAAAACAATGTCATCTCCAGGCTGTGGAGGGAAACAAACACATTGAGATAAAGCAGACAAATTTCAGAATCCTTGACATTTTTAATGCAAGAACGGCTCCAGTATATAACTAGTTACCTTGTTGTATATGTAGCAGTTTGAAAACATCTGGTTGAAGTCTTGAATACATTCTTGGGCATTCCTGTAGTAACTGTTCTCAAGCCTTTTCTTGATTGTTCCCATATCCATAGGATTTTTGATTATTGTGTAGTAGTCCTGAAAAGGTTGTAATAAAAGTTATTATTGATGCTATCTGTAAACATTCATAGAAACATATCTTTATGGGCTATTGCACCAACTTCATATCAGCTCCTACCCTTACCAACAAATAAATCCTAAATATGAATTAAAAGGATTCAAGTTTTTGAAAAATCTAATTTCAGGATGTGCTGGAATGGCCAAACATTTCACCCCCACTTTTTCCTGCCAGCCCACAAATAAAATTTCCATTTGAAGTCGGGTGATCTGAAGAAGAAAAACCAATTACAGCAATCATCTTGCAGATAATGAGGCAGCTTCATAGTCTTCTCTGCTCACCAGTTCATTATTCTCTGTTCTTACATCCAACAATCCATAGCCTTGATATGAAGTTCACATATTGTCAGTATCGCGTCCAACTTTGCATTGCCCTCAATCTTGGATATCTTGTAAGCATTTATGATTTAGGATTTTTTTTAAGGTCATGGCCTGCCTCCTGAGACCCACTGAACCGTCTGCTAGGTTGAAATTTCAGGACAGGTTGTCGTGACATTTTCTAGAAATTTTCAGCAGCGAGTATGTGATCACTCGAAGAGATTCTTTGTCTTTTGTTTTTTTTCTTCTTCCAATGCTTAGATTTAAAACGACACTCATTAGAGCAAAAGATCTTTAAAAAGCATGCCATTGGTTTTTCCACACTCTCTGGAATTAAGTTTTTCTTTAATAAGCATAATATATCCTAAGGTCAAAGGCAGGTCAAGAAACACAAAAACACTCAACTCTACAAGAAAAACCGTAGAGCTGCATTATTACTGCAGAAATATCTGAAGCCAGGAAAAAAACCTCAACCTATGTTGCATGTTATGTTTAGAGTACGACTACGTGCGTACTTGTTTTTGACGTTTTACCCGATTAACGTTTCATAAATCGCGCACCTTCAAACATGTTGTTTAAATAGTTCCAGTCAGTTAGCGAAGATGTGAAACCAAGCTTTCTGGGTTTGCCTAACTGAATATAGCTAGTAAGACAATAATTAACGGTACAAAGAGAAGTGTAACTTCCCCAGGGACAGCTCCAGCCTTATTCTACATACACACATGTGCACAGCAAAAACAATTACTTTCCATCTGCTACAGTAACTCTCACAGAGCTCGACACATTACTCCAAAAGGCGAAACGAATTTACATTTTTTAAGACGACGATATGTGGCTTTAAACTTGTATATCATAGAAATACTAGTTGGATGCTTTACTACATGAGCTTAAAGCCATGTTCTCCATGAAGACAGAAAACAGGCAGTCTTGTATCACATTATTTTGCTAGCCCTGTTAGCACATGTGGATTTCATGATACCAGAGTGGAGAGGATTAACCTGCCAATGACCAAAATGGTGACTGGAGATACACTTCAATTAATTTTTGTGGAAGGAAAGGGCCTTCGCGAGCTGATGCTGTTAGTCGAGTGGGAGTACAAGCAACCACCAAGGAGAACAACAGCTACAAGAGTTGAAAAGATGTATGAGCAGAACTGCAAAGTGTCTGTTACTAAAGACTTGTGGACAACTCTCTCCACAGAGTAATATGTTCAGAACTGGAATTTGAAGACATCTGTCCTACAGTAAGCAGGACTGATGAGCGACACGCCCAAAGAAATACAGCGGGCTACCGGGAGGTCCATGTCAGACATATTTTTTTGACGATAAATATAAATATATAAAATGATACTTGTTTGTGAGGTAATGAGTACTCAGGGATTTAGAATCTAAATACTCGAGTACTCCAAGTTTTAAATGACTGTAAATGTCCATCCCTAGTGCTTTAACATGATCAAATGCAAAAAAAACATATTGAGCAACTTATATGTGTAATTGAATGAAAGCCAAGTGATCATGTGGGTGACACATAATGTGTTAATGACAGTTTTAAGGTGCGTATGTAGCATCCTCACATACAAACAAAGCCAGTACTCACAGGCAAGTTAAGTTTTATTGCATCCACGGGTGAATGAAAGGGCCAGGCAAACTGGTGCTTCCAGAGGGCTTTTACCACCATCTTGAGCAGGTATTGCAGCTGATTGGTCTGGCGCTTTGGCCTACTGGGATTAATATACTCTGGGGGTGGGGGGTTGCCCATTGACTGGGCCTGCCCCTGGCTGCTGCTGCTGCCCGACATCTGCGCTGCATCCACGCCGTCCCCCATTCTAACAGGGTTGGACGTGGGCTCGGGCCCCGGAGCGGGAGCTGGAGCAGGGGCAGGGGTTGTGGTGTTGGCAGGACACCAGTTCAGTCTTGGCCCCGGCACAGACTCCACTGACAGAGCACCGCTGATCCCATTGCACTCCTCGCTGGACTCTCTGAAGGGAGAAATAGCAAATTGTCAGTAACATGCCCACGAACACACTCTTCAGCAAAATATCCTGCAATTTGTTGGATTAAATTTGGCTATCAAGTTTAATATCAAGCTTGCTAAATAAATGTGTACAGTCCCTGTAACCACCAGACTAAAGAAGATAACTTTTTTATTCAATAGAAACTTAACCTCTTCGTTAAGCTCCCTTATTTGCATTATATATCAGAGTACTGTTTACCAGTATGTCTGTATACTTGTGTTTTTAGGGACTTTCCTGCACTTGCACACAACATTGCTGCATTTTGTGTCAACCTGCACTGAGTGGTTTGCCATAACTGACGTAGGGAGCAGTCATAATGAAAATCCTACTCCAACTAGTCATGTTGCTTTAAGGATAAACTAAAAAGAGTTAAAGAAAAGTTTTTGATGCTTTAAAAAAAAAAAAGAAACTGGAAAGGATCACTGTCAAAAGAAGAAGGCAATTAAAAGGTGAGGAAAATCAAGATGACCATTGGTGAAGCTCTTCCTTGTTGAATAAAACTGATAGAAGAGAAGAGAGTTGACAGAAATTGCAATAATACTTTTGTTTTCACCACTAAGGGGTAGACAAAAATATGCACTGTGGGTTTGAATGATGTCTTGCCCTTTGCTCTTTTCTCAAGTCAATGAATATGATGAGTCTTGGTAGTCTGCTCTTGAATGCATATAGCACACAACAGTAAATTGTTCATATCAAAATTTCTCCATTTGATTCAGAAAAAGGGTTGCACCAGAAAACTGTACGAAGCATCTTAGCTCTAATCGATCAGCACATCTATAATTACCTGCTATGGCTTGCTCTCTGTCACACATGGACACTACACAGACTGCATACCAGGCTGCTTGCTTGGATGTAAATTTAAACTGTTGTTCAGTTGTTTTGGGCATTTTCATTCCCACATAAATCTCTTCAAGGTTTAGTCTTCAAAGCAAGGCATGGGTAATGGGGGTTAATGACACCCCACCTTTAAGTGTGGCTGTTCAAAGCAGTTTCAACACTTCAGACTTCTTAAGTGGTCAATTAACACCAAGCATGTTCTAGTAAGCATTCCCTTGACATGTGTGTCATGCCTCATGGCACTCTGAGGTTTCCTGATACATAAAACAATGAATCTGGCAACAATCTGGCCCTGGCTCGCTGGATTGTTTTCATTTTCATTCACTGTACTGTGTCACTTTATTTTTGTTGCATTTTTATGACCTAAAAATAAAATACAAACACTGTTATTGTCTTGCTGTTGACAATGATTTGTTTTAAAAATATGACTTAAGAGTATTTAAATCGTAACCACATTGAAAGGCACAGGTTTTTCTGTAGGTATTTTTTCATGGATTGTTGTCTTCTCACGCTGTCTCAAGACCAGGGACTGTTTTGGGGTGTGGGCAAACATTTAAATAAAATGCGTGGGAAGTTTAGCATCATCTGACAGCTGAGGGATTTTGTGTTCCCCCATTCACGGCATACACACTAAATAATGTCCTCTCCCAGGCAGCCAGGGATGTCACATTCAAGATACTAACAAAGCCTGTTAAGACAACTACAAGGCCAAATAATAATAATCAGAAACACAAAACCAAAAAAGGATGTGGAACAACAAATATTGTGGATAAAAGCACTAATCATGGATTTGTGATTATAATGCTAGTCTTGCATGATGAAATCCAACCCCACAAAAGGGCTTTAAAGATAAAACACATGTATAGATCTGTGACTGGTCACATTATTGATGAGTCACTCTCTGATAAGAGGCAAGCTGTTTGCATACCACATGATCACTGCATTGGCCTCCCAGAGGCACTACATAGCAGAGGAGAATGTGACTAACTTGACCAATATGTTGGAAGACAACCAGCACTTAAGTTGCTGGACGCAAGAACACTTAACAAATAGGACCAAAACAAACAAGAACAGAATTTTTCTAGTCTCCATGCAAATAATGTGAATGGCTTTTTTCTCCAAGCTCTCTACATCAAAACATTATAAGCATAAGGGGTGGCAAGTACACACATGGCCACTGTACTTTTCAGAGTGCCTTGAAAAATGATATGGAAAATTCATTAGATAATGTTTGAGAAATATGCTGCATCCACTTTGACAGACAGTAGACTTCATAGCAGATTACATTTTGGATAATGAGACAGACAATTAGTAAAGGCAAACACAGAATAAAAGTATGGAATATTTTCCAAACAGGAATATTTTAACTTGTTGCTTTTCTCCACAACAGATTTCACCAGTAGACGTTGTGTTCCTTAAAACAAAAAGAAAACATGGGTATAGAAGCTTCACATTATACGCGGTGTCTTTAAACACATTTTTTTCCTTCATGCTGTCTGTCAAAGTGGCACCCCTTTAAGGATTGCGTAGGGGCAATCAATACCAGCCCAAAATATCTTGATACCGATACTGAAACAATACCATGGCAAAAAATAGGACTGGCTTTTCTGATTTAAATCGATTCTCATATGAATGATCTGATATCGATTCATAAAATCCAAAGATTTATCTTTTAATAGGCTATATTCCCTTTACCTTCATCCATTCAAATCAGTTTGGGTGAAGTGGCCATCCCAAAATTATATGTAGAGGTGAAACACAGCACTGCAAGAGAGTGAGAGGGAGTCACCCTAGCCTAACCTGTGACACAGCTGGACATCCAGAGCAACAGGTTCATACCTGACTGTGCTCATTATATCGACCATGAGTGGAGACTCGCATGTTTTACAGGCAAGGCAAATTCAAACAAGCAACAAGGAAATTATGTAGCTGAACGTTTTTTCCGAGATGATTTAATAAGTACATTCATGTTACTGCTTTAGGGTACAAGTAAACCTGAACATGTTTATGATAAACTAAAACCTTTTTAATATTTGTTCTCTGGGAATCATAATCATATTGAAACAGAATTGGTATTGTAACTTAAATATCCCTAAATTAGTTGATATTGAATCGAATAGAATCGAATTGGGACCTTTACGAATCGGAATCGAATCGATTCAGACATTCAGTGGTGATACCCAGGGCAGCCCTAGCAAAAAACTAAAAGCACCAAGAAAAGTAACAGTCCTGATATAACAAAAATAAAGGGCTTTCAAAGGGGACAACAAATTATAGGTTAGGGTTAGGTCTGGGTATTTACCACAAGACATGACGATATATTGCCATATCGAGTTTTTTGAGCACAGCTCTAGTACATTTGAGCTGTTTTAAAACATAATTGTATACATCTAATCCAAAATAAAATTGTACTGCTCTTTTCAGTCTTTTTGCATCTTTTGAGACTTTCTGTTGCTTTCAAACACAGCCGGAAGGAAAGGCTCCCTCGATTAGTTGGTTGCAGATTTTGCTGGAATCTGTTTGTGTGTCTTGGGGGGTGGGGGAGATATATAAATGATGTAAATGTTAGTTTTTGTCTAACAGTCTGGCACTAAGTGATTATAAAAGCTCAAACCCAGGAATATTAGCCTACACTACAGCATTGCATTAAAGTAGACTAAACATAAAATACAAATACCTCATAATTAACAGAGGTCTCCTCTCTGTATGTATGTATGGGGGCATGTAATTACATTTCCCAGTAATTACACAATTTCACAGTTTGGGATCAATAAAGTAATTCTATTCTATTCTATATAATTATGTTACTTATCCCATTGGCTAAACAACCTGACACCCTTTAAATTCCTTAAACAAGTAGGCATGTCTGTCGTCGAGATGTTTTGCCAAATTGTATGTGTTGGCTCCCCTGGTCTGCGTGGGTTGAAAACATATTTTACACACAGGATTTGTGGTGTACGTGGGGTTAACCTGACTATCGCCTCAGTGAAATAATGTCATATTTCAGTCCGTGAATCTGCTTTGTCAACAAGTGGTGGACAGTCGGCAAGAGCCGTATCCAAACCGTTAGCAGCCATGGCTCTCTTTCTGCTTCTCACAATAAAAATATACAAATGTTTGGCACTCCCACAATGCAACTTTAGCATTTCAACTAGACTTAAAGACAAAATATGCAGATTCCAACACCAGGGGGCTCTCAATCAATAATACATAACAAACAATCGCGTTGAGGCTGGTGGGGAAGTTCACTCTGCTGTGCTTGTTATGTTGATATGTTTTGTCATGTTTGATAAATGTTTCAAAGTGTTTCTTATATTTTGACCACCGTGGTACATCAACATTATTTCAAAACACATTTTTTTATTACATATTATTTATATTTTCAATAATGGCTTTATTTCCAAAGTTGACAGAATATTAAAGTGTTCAAGTTTGATAAATGCATGTGATGCAGAAGATGTTAAATATATGAGTAATTGCGTTTTTTTACGACGTACACAATTGGGAAAAAATTCAGGGAAAGACAAAAAACCACATGTAAGACAAAAATGTCTTTTAGCGACCAGACTAACAATCAATGATCACTTCCCAGGCTCTCTGCAACAAGTTCATTCGCTAACCTGAAACATTATCCAGGCCCATCAGCTAATTAGCTAGATACCCTACTTGCTCACAGAGGTGAGACGGTTGTTTCAAACTAAATGCATATAGTCATGACAACAACTTGCCACCAGAGATTCAACGATTTCAATTTCTTTGGCTGATTCAGATTTCTCAATTTTTTTCAAGGTCTGATGCTGATCCCTATTTGCTTCCTATTCTGTGCTTGCTTTCCAATATAAAAGACAGCAGAAACAAACACTATTTGTAACTTTTCTTTAACAGGAATTTAATTTAATATTTAAAACATTTAATGTTGATTAACCTTTTTTATATTAAAAAACAAATCTTCAAAACTGCTCCAGGTTACATGACAGGTTTCCTGACTAGATGCTCAAACATTCAACTCTCCTCATACACCAGAATATCTCACCTCTTTCTTTTCTTCCTCACTGTGTATGCGCTGCTAGTTTAGTTCATCAGCAGTAGGATTACACATGTACATGTTTGTATGACAAGTTTTGGTAAATGTCATGATAAACAGATCTGCAAACATCAAACACCAACATCAACAAACAACATACGGTTGCCATGAAAGCCCTACCTCATGGAGCAGAAACTTTACTGCAGGAAGTATAGCAAAAGAAAGAGAAAAAAATTTCTTTAAAGATATTGTTTAGACCAGGAGTGTCCAAAGTGCGGCCCGAGGGCCATTTGCGGCCCTTGAGGGGATTTTTTGCGGCCCGTGACATCAAATGAAGAATCAGAAGATTTTGGCCCGAGGCCTCGATTAAGATCGGCACATTATCTTATTTTTCTTTTTCATGTTAACAAGGGCTGAACAATATTCCTAAAATAGAAAATGTTCAGTAACATGTATGTTGTTTTTTTAAATCTACAGCTTTTACTATTTTCCACATTTTTTTTGTAAACTATGAAAAAAAAACATATGCAAAGACTGTTGTTTAACCATTTAATGACCTGAGCTAAATGCAGAAAACTTTTCCAAAAAAAAAAAAAAAGAACCACGTTACAGGCTTGATTCTGAGAAAAAACTTATTTGGAGTTATCCTTGATGTTGATATCAGTAGTGTCATTATATTGAACAATTCAATATGTTAAATACTAAGTAGTCAACAAAAATAGTTGCTGACAAATTTAATTGTCGATCATCCGTTGGTTACGCCACTGTGCATGTTTTTATGCTGTGTATGAACATAACATTGTTTTCTGGAGTTGCTGAGTGGAGTGAGCGATCTTGCATCCTTACTATCTCTGCTAATAGTTAAGTATGCAAAACAGCAACCGGCAAGCAACAGAAAAACAAAACATAGCTTAATTTTGGCTGCAGATGTAACACCATCGAACTCTACAACTCCTAGACTCAAAGTATTTCACCCTCGACACTGCAAATTAAAACGTTAACCTGAAGGGCTGAAGTTGTGGTAAACCCGCTTCCATATGTGGAAGGCATTAAAGCATATCAGACTAGATCGGCAGATGGCCTCAACAGAAGTCAATCAAATGGTCTACTTTCGTTTTGCTGCATGTCCTATGCCACTCACAGTTCTTGAATAACAGCTGACCTTTGACCTGGATAACATCAATCCGGAATGATGTGGAAGTTTTCCAGGGGCAGAGTGGTTTTGGTTTCGGGCGGAGGATGCACATTAACAGCAAGTAAATGTGGTCATGTGTGCAGCATCACAGTTACACCTACATCAAAGTGCTTGGAATAACATAATACCCACGTCTGCATCCACTATTAAAATAAACTATTAATAATTCATGTGTAGGGTGTGAGTAGATTTCGGGCAAAGATAGGCCTGTAGATTTCACTTGGGGCACTCAGCTGAGTAAGAACGAGGGTTCATGTCTTGCCTAAAAGGAAAGGAATAAATAATAAATATATCCAGTGACAAGTCCATGATCACCACTCCTTTCCTTCACAATGGCCTTTTACAATTTTGATACAACCACCTTCAACCCTTCTCAAGGGAGCAGCTCCTTGGAATGATTACACTGATGCTATTATTTGTTTGAACTAATTTATTTAGTGTTTCTATTTAATTTTAAGTTTTTCTCCCCTTGGCTAATGAGGAATATGAAGGTTATGTATTAAAAATAGAAGAAGGTTTAGGTTTATTCAGTTTAAATATTCAGGTGGAGATATTAAGTTAAGTTAAGTTACACTATTGCATGATTGCCATTAGAAACCAGTATGATCTTTTATTAAGACCATTGCACAAAAATGGGGCAACACTGGCTTTGTGTCCCCTTGGCATCAATTAATCGTACGTTGACAGCAAACACCTACACTGAGCTGAGAATTAGCAACTGTGATCAGAACTTTGATGAGGCCAAACTCAACCTTATTTCATATGACATGAATGCAGGGTGGCGTTTTGCTATGCAGCTGCATTGTTAGACTGCTGTCAGGCTTATTTACATTTTCCTCAAAAAAAGATTCCCAGAGGGCAGAGGCATAAGACGATTGTACTTTAGAGATGTGCAGGACAAGATCAGCAAAGAGGAAAATAAGGGGAAAGACTAAGAAACAAAAAGCTAAAATGGACAGTGAGGGATAATTAGCTTAAAGACAAATCAACCTTGATCAGAAATTCATCATGAATTCATCATCTTACTTCTAAACCAGTATGTATTGTTTATGTGTGCATATGTGGTATGACATGTATTTTAATTATTACATTGCATTACATAACGTTTTACAACTAGCCACTATGTCAGAGGTGGGGCCATTAGCATTGCAGCTTAACTGTTAACAGTAGCCCTATTCAGACTACAGTTTCAAGCTGGGATATTAACACCCCTGTGACTTTTTGCCTTCAATCTCACACAAGCAGGGAAAACATTTTTCTTTAATTTACTTATTTAAAAAAAACAGACCGTTTTTTTTCTTGTTTCTAAAATTATAACATATTTTAAATACATGTAATGTTGAAAGTAGATATGATTAGCGGAGATAGTAGGGGTACATAAATGACGTTCCTTTGTGTACACACAACCTAAACATCTGTAACACAACAAAGTGTGTTTTACACACAGCCTGGATGACAAGGTGATGTCCACACAGCAAAATAAAGCCCCTACTTCAATTGAAATTGTACAACACAAACTAAATGCAATCAAATGAATATTCCTAGACATAATAAATATGTATAAAAATGAACATTTCCAACACTGACAACCATGTGTCATCGGTGATTGTATGTGGCTGCCTTGTTGAGTACCTCTGAAACCTTTGAAGAAAAACAAGTGTTGCCAAGGTTTCTATGGAAACAGTAGACTTCATGGCCGGTATTTTTAGCTAGATGGTTTCAAAACCTAGTTTTGAAAGCTTACGCATTGAACTGTAGCATCTAACTCTTGGTCTATCATATTTGTAAATACACAAAAAGTGTTTAAAAAATAATAAATAAAGATTCAACCACCATTCATCAAAAGGTTGCAAACTTTTTTTAAGTTCCCTTCATATTGATTACAGGCAGTGACTGAATGAGTCAGTGCATGAGCACACAAACTGACTCAGATAGGCTAACCATGAGTCAGGCTCATTATAACAGGAAAAGGAAGAACCCTGCCAGCTCTTTCAGGCTGAAATTCCAGCTGGTTAGGACAAGCAAGCCAAACCTTACCAGGAATTAGGAGACATTTCTACTACTGCCACACACAACCCCCTGCTTCCTCTGTAGTCCCCCCTTCCCCCTCCCCCCTTGCTCATCAGGAGGTAGAGACTTGCTTCTGCCTGAAATCTGAATAACAATACTTTTCTTAACAAAACACAGAAGACATCTAAAGTTGATTTTTACAACAGGCCATGTAAAACTAAAAATTGTACCAAAAAAATGATAGAACCAGGAACTATCATTGAACACTGTCTTTAATCTCACTTTCGCTTCATCTTTTAACCATGTATTTCATATACTGTGATTCTGTACACAACATGAGAGATAAAAACTGTCTGTTAAATTTCTGAAAACGTGGTAGAAGTGTATCTCAAGGACAACATTACCTTTTCACAGAAACTGAATGTGCAATTTTTTCCAGAAGGGCGTCCAGTTTTTGAAAATCCAGCAAATCATTTGACTTGGCATGCATCTTGTAATCCATTTATGAACAGAAACCAAAAAAGGCCGGAAAAGAATTACATGAAATTTGTTTTCCTTTTTCTCTCATCCAAAACACAGGAGGGATATGTTATCCAGGCGCCAGTATGTATCCTAAAATCCAACCGAACACGGTACGTATCCTTAGTGGAGTCCAAGTACAGTTTGAGAGTGGCTGTAAGTAAAAAGCCCTAGCCTGAAAACAGTGGGTCAAGGCGGGGAGGAAAGGCTGAGGGAGCAGTCAGCCGGCAGGCTGTGTTAGCTGTGTGAACCGGTCCTCTCTCTACCCCATCCCCCTCTCAGCAGTACAACGGCCCAGTTGCCACAGGCCCTTCGTTCCATTGTATGTCCTCTCCAGGGCCTCCAAAACTCAAATGGACACCGGCGCAAAAAGAGGTGAACAAGGGGTAGAGAAGAAGGTGAAAGAGGGGAGAGAGGCTCAGATAAGAGAGGAGCACTTTATTCCTCTAGCTCCCTCTCACCTTCTCTCCTCTCTCTAGCCCGACAGACCAGCATGCAGTTACTCAACAGTAAAAATGGCTCTGCTGCTTCCTCATTCAGGGGAGCTTCAGCCCACACACCCCTCCCTCCCTTTCTCCGACACGCTTGCTCATTCCACCCCTCCTCTTTTTCCCCCATCAATAGCTTGAGATCCTGCTCTTCTCTCTCTCTCTTGTCTTCTCTCTCTCTCACTCTCTACACCTTTATCACCCCACCCCCTTCCTGTCTTTTCCTCTGTCCATTTTAACATGCCCCACCCCCCACTGACTCTTTCCTCAGAGTAGTCGTGTATGCCTTCCCCCACCAATTTGAAGCCTCTCTTATCTGAGCTCCAGTCTCCCCTTGTAAACCCCCCACATTTATAATTATGCTGGATTAATTCAATACAAACGAGGCTGCCCAAAATATTTTGTTTTGTTTTCTATAAAACCTGTTGAATAAAAACAAATACACCTGAAAACACTGGTTCTGTTTTGGGCCAAACCATAGGGGGCAAACCTACTAGCTTAGGTTATATTTTAATATTCGGTATGTACATATAGCATATTAATTGTGATTTATTTACTAACTTATTTTAGTTTGCGTTACAAAAAAGTTTAATCTGCTCATTTTATTTATGTTCTCTAGTTATTCACTTATCCGCACACACACACACACACACACACACACACATATCTGCACCTCACTTACACATAGCATCTTGTCCTGCTCTGTTGCTTTTTGTAGCTTTGTTTCTTGTGTGCTCTTTTGACATTATTCATTAGCAGAATACTAAAGACACTCAAATAAGATTACCCTTGTATTTAAATGTTTCACTCAACATTCCGTGATCACATCAGGTGATCTGCGTAGGAGGAGGCTTATTTATGACATGTATCACAACAAACATCCTCAACTACCAATGCATGACAGCATCATCAGCAAGCAGCTGAAGAAAAATATTGAAACGAAGGCATGAGAAGCTTTAGTTTTTACATGAGCGTTGCATCTCAATCAGTGCTCCACAGATCAAAAGGAGAGCATAGACTGTAAATATTAATGAATGAAGCCTGAGTGACGTCACCCATCTGTAACTGCAGGGGGCTTTGGAGTCCCATCGATAGGGGTAGCAATCCTGGAAATGCTGTCTCAACCTAACTTTCAATCAACCTGACGACTACAAGCAAGAACTGTCACTGTCCTCTTAGCCTCACCCATTGTGTTAAATTGTACAGACACGGCTGAAGGCTGCTGCAGACAAAGATACATATTGCTAATAACAGGCAACTAGGCAGTGCTGTGGAAATGAGAGACACTATTCCCCCTGTTGAAAGTCTTTGTACTATTAGATTGACTTTAATACTATTTTAAGGTAGAAAAGTTACATATTGTTGCTTTAATACAGAATAGTAGAGACAAGTTAAAGGCAATTTGACAATCTTAAATCCCTTGTGCATACCCACATGCCTTACAGTCTAAAAATTAAGACATAAAACTCCAAGCAATCAGACAGGTAAAATACCTTCTTGTGAAATTATGTTACTTAGTTTAGTGGTGAGTAAAATGCCCAATGTGTCTTTCCTAAAATGAAACAAGCAGCAGCTCCTCTTTGCTGCTGCTGTGTCCTCAACACTTTACTGTCCATATGCCATATGCACCATTCCCAAAGACAATACAGCAGCTGCCAGAGTGACAAAGCTCCAACCTACAGCAATTCAGAGGAGGCCAATCCAATGGCCATGTCACTCGAGGGGTGGTGGTGGGGGTCTTACTCAGACACAAGGAAGGAGGGAGGCATGACAGCCAGAGGAAGGGCAATGTGAAGGAGAGGGTTTCATTCAGACTAGGGGTTGGGTTAGAAGAAGAGACAGTAGTGCAGAGATTGCAGAGATGAGACTCTGCAAGAAAGTCTGAGAACACCTCCATCAATCATCATAGCTCTGGAGCAGCTAAAATCAACAGGGACCCAGAGTTGAAATGCAGAGAACAGGCAATTAGCCAACTTGACATGCTGTGTTTTCTATTCAGTTATAAAACATGGGTGTGTGTTTTGACAGTTATTGTTAATCAATAAACTATGATTAAAAACAAACCTAATTTATTCTCATTAATGGAACATGTTGTATAAACCTATACATGATTGTCAAGTTCAACACACAGTTGGTCTTTTAAGTGAAACATGGAAGAGGGAATATCTCCTACCAATTTAAGGAAGACCTCACTGATTTTAAGCACAAGATTACAAGAGGTTTTCTTGATGTGTACTGCTCACACTGGGTAATCAGTTGTGTCATATTCCTTTGGACTGTAGGTTCCTTTCTCAAGTTTGAAACATTATCCTTGATGTTATCAACAGATTTATGCATTTGCAAACAGTTGTTGCCACAATCTACATATCAGATCTTTATGACGTGAAATGACGTATGTATGACGTGAAAAAAGTCAGGGCATTTTTCTCAATAGTGGACACAGGCCTACATAGTGCAGTGGCAGAGCTATTTTCCCAACTATTGTTTCGGTCTGGCAACGCGCGCTGTTGCTTTTTGCTCTCCACCCTACTCCGCGGCGAGCTCAGCATGCACAGCGTCCTATCTGAAAGTCCCTTTAGCCTTTTTCTCACCTGCATTCCTGAAAATGTAAAACAGTCTCTTGCCCTAATCATTGCACATCTGCAATAATATTTGTGTGTTGCGGAGAGGGAAAGCTGGTTGGAAAGCAATCCAGACTGTCTTCGCCTGCTGGTCGTACCTGTACACAACCAGACAAACATTTTCTATGTATCATGTGGAATTATTAACATTATGGGAATTTTTCCCGTATTTTTTTGGGCAGTTACAGTAATTTCAGTACTCCAGAAAAAGCTATGCAATCGCGTTTAATCGCACGGCCACCAGTGTTTTCTAATCTACCGCCGATACATTCTCAGGGCTTGTTTTCACCCTAATGGGTGCAAGGTCACTCTGGCAAGCCGGAAGTGACGTTTGACTGCTCTTATGAATACCTAGCTTTAAGTTCACGTGGTTAAGCCTCAAAGGAGTAGTAGGATGGGCAACTTTGGTGACTGCAAGGGCCACATTAATTGAATTCACACTTCCAGAGGGCCAAATTGTAGTATACAAAAACAATTACAATCAATTATGTCTCAAATTTATCAAATATTATTATGGACATATTTCTGGTTTTCATGATTTCATGGCAGATTTTGTCATGTTTTTCCAATTAATTGATATGTAAAAATTGACCTGAGGGCCACGTTGAGGGTTGGTGGGGGCCGCCAGTTGCCCACCCCTGTTCTATGATATGCTCTTTACCATCATCTTTTTGTCAAAGTACTTCCATCAAGACATCACTTTTACTAACATGGTGCATCTGTCATAGACTGTGCGTTTGATGAGTAGGGTGTCCCTTGAGATTTTTATTGTCTAACTTCTTAATTTATTAACAAGTATATTCAGCTAGTTTAACCCAGAAAGTTTGGTTACAACTATTGTAGCCTAAAACAACTCTGTTGTGCTGGTACCTATCCCTAATTCTTAGTGTTGAAACACCCTACATGGTTTGGGGTTCAGGCTGCACATGAGCCGAGGATCGATGGAAAAATTCTAAACATGGTGTAGCCTCTAATAAAATTACCACTAAATCGCTTTGCAGAATCTCTGTGAAAAGAAGGCAGCATTTAAGTAGTGCCATCATGTAGACCATCTATAAAAATAGGAAGACATTACATACTTTTAAAATATATTCTTAAGTATATTTGCAGACTTTTACACAGAAACAGCTTGTAAAGCATTGATATTTTATTGTTATTTTATGTTTCAAAAGCTGCTTCATCTCTTCTACCTCCACTCTCAACCTGACTGCTTTCATGAAAGCAAAATGCAGATAGATTTTTCATTTGACGAGTATACTTCAGAGGGATATCTGCCACATGTCTGTACAATAATACTCATGTATAAAAATATCCTGAATTTTAAGCGCATTTAGAGTAGCTGCAGCTCCTCTCTACTGCTCCTCTGCTTTTTGCATGTTGGAGGGTCGCAGGGGGCACACTAAGACACACCAACATACATTGATGCACACACACACTGGAATGCCAGCCACTACACGGCACGCGCACCTGTTTACTTAAAGGAAAAACGGAACACAGTCCATATGGACAAAGTCTCTATGGATGGGAACACACATGATTGGGTCAAACGGTCAATTCGACTTTTGCCATTAACTTGTTATGTCTGCATTAATCAACAATCAGCAACTTAGCATTTTTTTTCTTCTTTTTTTTGACAAGATTTATTTTTTGGCTTTTTGTGCCTTTAATGGAAAGATAAGACAGTGGATAGAGTCTGAAATCAGGGAGAGAGAGTGGGGAATGACATGAGGGAAAGAAGCCACAGGTGGGATGTGAACCCGGGCCGCCCGCTTGAGACGACAGCCTCCATACATGGGGCGTGCGCACCAACCACTGCACCACAAGCGCCCCAAGCAACTTAACATTTTTAAAGTTATCCCACAGCCTGCTGTAGTCTGTAAACTTATCCATACAGACTGTGTTAAATCGACTTTAAAGAGAACTCTGTTATATCCAAACACTGAAGATATAATGCACACTAAACACACGCTACCCTTTTCACTCACCACAGGAACAGATACACACTTCCGCTAAATGAACAGTCTGGTCATGTGTTCAACTTTGTCAAAGCCAATTAAATTGAGTAACAAGCTAAAGACAAAATATTGTAGATTAAAGCAAATGTATTACTCACAGATTGATTTTTCTTTGAGTTTGTAATTGTGTACTGCAGGGGTGGTTCCAGAGGGTAGCAGGGTGGTCTGGGCACTACTACCTTATAGAAAATAAAATAAAGGCGAGCAAATCAAATTTTTCTATCACTTCTAAATTTCCTGCTCCGATAAAATAATCTGTGATTTAATTTAGACATATCGTGAATTTTCAAGATAAGAGTATAATTAGTAAGAGAATAATTACTTTGGTGTTGGTAAGAGATGCAATTTATGAGTAACACTGTTCTCTATTCCTTCTCTAAGCATGCAATACACAATATGCATGATGGTGATCTGTCCAGAGTGAACAATCTCAGTTGGCGTCATTTTTCAGCACCCCACTTTAAACCTTTATAATTCTGTTACCATGTCTCATGCTATCTGCACACCAAGTTTAACTGAGACAACATTACTGGCAGAACAATGTTTAGAAGAACACTTGGTTCTAACAGGTTGCTAAGGACCAAAAGGAGGGTTCTTTCTGAATATCCTACAGCCTCCAGATATAAAAGATTATTTTTTGAGATAGCCTGAGTAATGTCTAAACAGTGTATGGCAGCTTTTCGGACATAAGAATTACATTTTAGTATTTACACGTTTCTAACTGTTGACGTTCTGTCTATTTTGGATGCATTCCAAATAAAATATTATTATTATTATTATATTAAAATATTATTTGAACTGAAACTATTTTTGTTACTTTTTCATTATCATGAATGGCTGAAATTAGTCAGACATATCATGGAGCAGTGTTTTGTCTTAAGTTATCACATACCATTATGCCATAGACCAAGAGAGACACACACCTTTCCAAAGTGATCAAAGGATGTACACTCACACACACTAGATGCAAATGAGCAGGCAAGATGTTTGCTTGCTCATTTGTTCCTTGACCAAACTCTTTTTTTCATTCAAGGTCATTTACATCTAGGCCAAGGATGGTGTAACCATGGAAACTAAACCAGAGTGAACAAAATCCCCCCAAAAAAGGAATATAAATGATGAGGAGCATAAATAAGTCAATAAAAAGGGCAAACAAATATGTCCTTAGTCTTTGAAATGATAGCGAACACAATTACATCCAAAACTATGATAACTCAGCACACATTTCAGTTAGAAAGCTGTGAATACAGCTATTCTGAGGCATATTTCTAAATATTCAGCTCTGATAACTCATCCAACTATCTGGAAGCACTTATATTTGCCAACATGTTTGATCCTATCCAACCAGAACTTTATTTGTACTATTGTAATAAATAACACAGTTCAGTCATTATATTTACTGTTTGACATGCATGCTTGTTTGCCCTACTGCATAGCACTTCAGTCAGTGGAAAAACTGTTACCAAACAAGTGACACAACTAAATAACAAAGCTGTCTCATGGCTATCATTAGTTCCCAATATTTACAGATATGAGACTGTCAACAAATTGCTTAAGAAGGTGGCATCTATCCATAGGCCAGTTACTACATTGGACCTAGTTTTTCACAGCTTCAGCCTTGGAGCACCTAGACGCAAAAGACCAAGCAAGCATGTGACAGCAAGTAGAATAGTAGGCTATCTGACATAAAGATAAATCTGTTTGTTGTTTCACTTAAGGCGCCGAGGAACTGTACCATTTAAAAAAGGTTCCACGCTTATAATTTCGGGGTTACTCTTTGCAAGTGGAAACAGAGACCGTTTGCTAAGTAATGGGCCTTTGCATGAGTAATCTGTCTAAACACAACAGTCGGCTGGATGCCACTGCTTTGTGTCTATTTTACCCGGCTATATAAACACTACAGACCTAAAAAACATCTGTCTAGGTAAAGGGCAATTACCAGATAATACGATAAACTGCAGAGTAATGGCTATTGGCGAGCGACCATCGTCGAAGAGCCAAGATCCTGACGTTAGGCCACGGGGCATAGATTATTGCTTGGGTTTCGTAATGGACGTCAGATCTGAGTATAGCAGATTGAACACCTACAAAAGTAAACACATTTTAATTCCAATTTCGTAGCCGGTTTTCGAAATAGACAACATGAATATGTGATGTATTGTTTTCTAGGCTGACTGCATTCTGGTCAAATAGCCCATGTCTGAGTGTGCGCCATCATCACGGCGTCACCGTCTCCCACAACACAAGACAGTCGACGAGCAAACTAGCATTAGATAACCAACACGCTGTTCGTAGCCGCATTTGTCCGGCTATTAGAAGCGTATTTGTGGCAAACATTCAGTGAGATATATGGGGAATATCAGAGAGAGACACAATGTAGGAGCGTTTATTGTGTCTTTTGATAGACAACTGCCAACTAGCTTAAGCTAGCAAGCTCGTTAGCCAGAACAGGCCGCCGTGCAAATGAACAGTCTCTGTGGGCGCCGGTCATCAGCGCTACTCATCAAGAACCACACCGCTGTAACCGGTTTTCTTGCTTTTTGCTCATACAGTATACTGAGACAACATGACTGCCAGAATAATACTGAAACAACGGCGTTTACCTGGGTTTATCAGGTTGCCAGGGCGCGCGGGATCTGTCTCCGAGGATCCTGAACACCTCTCGTTGGCGATGACGTCACGCGTAGGTCTATCGTCGAGGACGTAAAGAGCGTGTCACGGACTGCAACTTTAGCTGATGAGAAGTGGGTTGATGATACTCGACAAAAGCCCTTGAGTAAATTCGACTGCTCATATTCTGTCACACAGTTATTAATTTAACAGAAATCTAAAAATGTTTTATTTACCACAACACGTAATATTTATCCTGACTGTACTTTCAAGTTTGTCTTAAAAATATCAGTGACGGCATGCTACATTTGAAAAGTACTGCGTGTATCGGCGACGTCGACTCAGTAAAATTGACTTGAATGCTGTAGAGCGGGGCCAGTATCCACTACATGGTACTTTGCCCATGAAAAAGTACTTAAAATGCACATAGGGCGACAAATGGCAATAATAACTGGACCAAATGAGTGGTTTGCGGCGCCTCCTAGAGAACAGCCACTGAACTGTCGTTCACAATGCCTTTATTACACCGAAAAGCAGCTGCAATCAAAAAGTAAAATTTACATTTAAATATGTTCAAATTGTTTAAGAACTATATGATAATGGAATAAGAACAACATGCTGTATGCACGTCTATTTTTTAATTCCATTCAACATCGTATTTATTACAACCAAAGTGCTTGCGTCACGGCTTTCCCGGAAGTAATTTGAAGGTCTTTTGCGATGGTTGGATTTTAGATAACTGAAGCAAGCCTACAGTCGATGTGAAAATGGGTGTTAAAATAGAGGTGTTTAGAGTAAGTAACAAATACTTTAACAACGCCACTTATTATGTAGCCTATTAGTAGGTAACTAATGCTTACAATCGTAGAAACCGGCCTAGGTCTTGGTTCGATCCGGCTAGTCACTATTATCAGACTAACAGTAGTCATTGAACAGTTTTCCACTCTCAATCACACGCTCGTTTATTTCTTTGTTTTCGCTTTTAACAGATGATGCTGTATCTATCCTTTCCTGTGGCTATGTTCTGGGTCTCAAATCAAGCAGAGTACTTTGAAGAGTACATAGTAAAGAGAAAGGTCAGTAAATCTGCTTGTTCAGTTCATCATATTTAACTAAGTCGTCAGAGAGACTCGCTTCTCTTGAAATAACAAATGTCTCTTTTTCTGTTCAATTGTGAATTATTTTATGGCAACTAGAGGGAGATCTTCCCACCTGACGAGAAAATGCATGTAAGTGAAATTTCAAGTTCTTCAGTGTTCACACAGTCCATGAAATGTCCAATCAGAAAAAAATGTATACATTTTTAGTAGGCCTAGGAATGCAGAAACAATCGTCAGTACAGTAAACACTTGTCAGGCATTTAACAGTTTCATGTAAATCATTGTCGTAATGACTGTTTAGAGGTGCAGGTAAACAGCATCATATATGATAACATTACACTTTATATATTTTCAGAGGAAAGAGTTGGAAGACTTCAAAGAGCGGATGCGTGTTCGGAAGGAACAGAGAATATTAAAAGAGATTGCTGTGGAAACAGAGAACTGAGGATTATTTTTGGGAAAAAAGCACATCCTCTCTGAGCACCAACAAAGGACTATCAACGTCTTCATGAGCAGAAGAAAACCAAATGGACTGGTCGGAAATTTGTGCATTTAAAATCTCTAAGAAGTTAGCACATCCCAAAGTTGTGCTGGGCACTTTCCAGGGATTCATTTTGCCAATTGATATGTGTATTATTTTGTTGAATTGAATGTGTGACTTTTTCACAAGAGACATTTCAAATATATTATGTTTGAGCTGTTGTCATTGCTGTGTCATAAGATAATTACTGAGTTATACTGTATATGCAGGATAATTTATTGTAAATATCCTAATCTAATGTATTTTGTGAGGTGCATTGCCTACAAAGTGCAATTACATCCTTGGATTTTCTGTCATGTGAAGTGTTTTACAACATAGTATCATTTTGGATATAGGCTTTTTTGAGCCTGGACAAGAGAAATATGCCTTAATACCAATGTGTAAAACAAAGTCATAAACTGATTTGAAGCAAGCTCAAATGTAGGCTCACAGAGGCTCATGTGTTAGCAGTTATTGCCTTTAGGCCATGTTATACACCTGGGTAGCTCTATCTTTTAATTCAAGTTGTTTTATTAGTAAATGCATTTTCCTAAAGTCCCAGTTAATTTAACAGACTACAGCACGTTTATCACGTGATATATGTGTATATTTTTTGCAGTCATTTCAAGGTCCACCTTCACAAGTCTGGTTCCTGTTGCAGATGAGCATTTGCACAATTAAACTATGTCTTATAATGTCTGGGTTGGGTTTTTAAATCAAACAAATCTTCTGTTGTAACTATATAAAGGCTCACATCAAACCATAGAGCCTCTAAGCACTTTGTCTTAGACACTTCCTTGTACCTCGTGCATACATTATATTCACACAAGATATTCCTAATATTTATCAGCCGTAACTTGCTTATGAGTGTATTTACTTGTGGCATTGAGTATGCAATGAATTGGGCTTTTTTGCATCTTGCTGATTTGGGTATATTCAAAGTCACATGTGGTTGTCCTAAACAGTTTCCTTCACAAGACAAAATGTAGCATCTGTGTCAGGTTTGTATGCTGTGAGATTGTATCGTTTTGTGTGTTTAACATTCAAATTAAGATTATGGTATAAAATGCATTAAGATGTAATTGGCTGTCGAATGCTTTTTGGTTCTTGTGAAGGGTAGTAGCCCAGTTTCAGTGTTTAATGATTTACACTCTCCCCCCATCAGTAAAATTACAAGTTCCAGGGAATATTTAGAAAAAACCTGTAATCATCTACGATTTAAGACTTTTATACATTTAATTAATGTATCCTAATCGACACTACCCATGTAGTCGCTTCGCTATCCATTTTGGGAAACTGCGAAAACACAACACAATCACATACCATCGAAATAGCAAATGAGATATTGTAATGATCATATGAGACATGTGGGGGCGCTGCTGCGCTGTACAACGCTGTGGGGTTAGAAACAAACACCTAAACAACAAGGAAGTGGTCGACTAGCCAGTAGACTGCTGTCAAGATGGCACCGAGTGGGCTGAAGGCGGTAGTAGGGGAAAGTAAGTGATTCATTTGTCGTTAGATTGTCTGCTATCTAAACTTTTACAATCAACGACTTAAGGCACTAAAAATGTATTCATACTCAAGAATGCTCAAGAATGTGTCTGAACCTTTAACACTAAACAATACCGGAGAGATCGGTCCACCAGAAGTTTCTTCCTGCTCTCCAGTCACTTTTGAATGCTAACCCTACCGAAGTAAATAATTTTAACGCGAAGAAAATATGGGGAAAGGAAGCATTGTCACGTTGTATATGTTTCTAACAACATCTGCCACATATTTTCCTACGTTGTGACATTGGGCGGATAAAAAAAGAGAAAAAGTTTCGGCGTAATTGATTGGAAATGTTGTGACAACCCAAATTACAGGCTAAGTTAGCAAGCTAAGGTAAGAGGAAGTTGGTGTACTTTGCATGTGATGAACTGAATCATGTCGCACATACAGTTAGGAAGTAAATCTTTGAACAAAAGAAAAACATTGTTTCATTGAAGTCATAAAATCCGTGATACATAAAAGTATGTAGCCTATTTAAATGTTGGCTATATTGACAAAACAGTAAGCAATTAATTATTATTAAAAATATTTTCAATGTAGGCCTAGTGTAGGAGATTAAATCGATCACATCCATCTGCTGTGCACTAGTATTACATGTAGAACTAACTTTGCATTTAACCTGTAGGTGATTGGACCTGCAGCACTTTTAATCTGTACATTTTGCGATTAGCTCCTTTTTCTTCTTCTGTGATATTTCCACTATATTTTATTTTATTTTAAGTAGAAAGTACAGGTATGTGCAGGGCTTGTCTGAGACAGGTTTCAGTGTCATGGTATTTCAATATGTCTTATGAGCTTTTTCTGATAATCAAAAACATCACTGCCCTCAAAGTTAGAGCCAGAAAGTGTACTGACCCTTTCTCTGGTCTCTGTAGATCATGCTAAATAAAATCTGTTGCATATTGCTGTAATGTTCTCTGGTGAACTCCAGAGACAAGAATTGTCAATGCAAGACACCTCATTGGTCAGCAGTTTATTTTTCATCAGTAATTATAGTACAAGGAGGAGACTCATTTACTGACCTCACATTCTTCTGTGTGCTTTTTTAAGAAAAGGAAGCGGTTTATCTGAGGTGGTAAAACAATAGACTGCACTAAATCTTATTATAATAGCTTTACTGTTTAATTTTTTTAAAATCTAAGTTCAGGGTATTTATTCATCAACACAGCAGGACACTGCAACACTTTTCTGTTTATTACTAGTTGAACCACACCTCAGTTGTTGCCTTGCCTCAATTGATGTGCCTATGATGTCATAACATGCCATGTTGAGCAGTATAACACAAGGAAGTTGCACCAATTCACTGGATTTGGTATTACGCTTGCTATGTGTGGGTTTGTTTTAAAAAAGTTCCTGATTTAGATTGAGACACACAGCTGACCTCTACAAACATTACTAAACATGTACACGTCATATTATATTTCTCCTTGTATTATCTTCAAGTTGCTAAACTTAAGGCCTGAGAAACCTTCCAATGAAGCCAGAGATGCATGAGAAAGTGCTAACATTTAATAATACATCAACTGCCGCTTATACAATATGAAAAAGAGCCCAAATAATTATTTGTAATAACTACTTATACATCTCACCAAGAACTGTGCTCTGTTTCAATGTTAGCTTTCCACTAAATATTTGTCTGTGATTTGTTGCGACTGTTTCTACAAGTAACATTAAGAATTGCCATATAGGTATCTCTACTAAAAATCCAACACCTGTGTCCTCCTGTTTTATCAAACTTTTTTGTGTGGAGGAAATTGTTTCCTGAAAAGCTACTGCTTGTTTTGTAAACATATTTGTTCCTTTTTGACAGAAATCCTCAATGGGGTTATCAAGAGTGTGAGGAAGGATGGAGAGTGGAAGGTAATTGTTGCCAAGTGAAAGTAAAGAATCCCTCCATCAAACTGAGTTATAACACCTGTTTATCTGCTCCTTCAGGTACTTATTGTGGATCACATGAGCATGCGAATTCTGTCCTCTTGTTGCAAGATGTCTGATATTTTGGCAGAGGGGGTGACCAGTAAGTTTTAAATAAGTTATGGTCTTGCATCCTATGGTCAGTTTTATACACCAGGGATCAATGTCCAGCACTCGAAGCAATGTGTAAACAAATCTTGATTTATGCCTGCAAAGCACTTTGCCCTAGCCTTATTTAGTCAACAATCAAATTGATTTACACACTTAATTATTTCCTGTGTAAGCTAATAATTGTTTAATTTAATGAGTCATCCATTATCCATGCCAGCATTCACCTGCATCCATGCATCCATGACAATATCTACATTATCTTAGAGTGTCCATTGGATAATCTTATTTATATCTGGGATTGATGAGGTGTAAGTAGAGTTTGTGGTCAGAACTGCTTTGGAAGCAATTCTTTTTTTCAGCAGCGAATAGCTGACCTTTTAGAATGCTTTAATTGACCCATCAGGATTAAGTGTTCATCTCAGCTGTGTAATAAATGAAGGAATCTTGTGATTCATGTTAAATTGACAAAATGATATTGATTTGAATGAGTGAAAGAGTCTGTTTTGTTCTTTGTAGTTGTGGAAGACATCAATAAACGAAGGGAGCCCATCTCTAGTCTGGAGGCCATTTATTTGATTTCACCTGTGGAGAAGGTAAGCTGTTGCCCTTTCCTCAGAGTTCTCTGCAGCATGTTAAAATGTGTCTGTGTACATTGTTTTTTAACTTCCCATATTCTTAATCTGTTGTCTTTATAGTCTGTTCGCGCTCTCATCAATGACTTCAAAGATGCTGTCTTCACTTACAAAGCCGCACACATCTTCTTCACTGACAGTAAGTGTGTGTGTGCGTGTGTGTGTGTGTGTGTGTGTGTGTGTGGGATGTTCTGCCAATGTGTTTGAACTGTATTTTTCTTTGCCATAGCTTGTCCAGATGGTCTCTTTGCAGAGATTGGAAGATCTAGACTTGCAAAGGTTGTCAAGACATTGAAAGAGATCAACGTTGCTTTCCTGCCATATGAGTCTCAGGTACTCTTAAACACAAACGTTTGTGACCACATTTTTTTCTGTTAGTGATTAATAACAGGTACTTAGCTTACCGGTAAGTGACTGGCCCAAGCTGCTCAATGCTATAATCTGTTCAACAGTTTGTCTGTAGTTGTGTCTGTCCGGTCTGAGTTAACTGAGCAGTGGGTTCAGAGGTTTATGAGAGAGTTAGAAGTTAAAGCTGTAAAATATGTAACCTGCAACTTTACAGTGGTTTCATACTTCATGATGGGTTGTTGTCAACATAATGCCAAACTGAGGCAAGGTTCAATCACTTTGTCCATGCAGGTATTCTCCTTGGATGATCCAACCTCCTTGTACTCATTCTATAGTTCAAAGCCAAATGAAGGAAGAGACAAAATGATGGAAAATCTGGCGGAGCAGATTGCAACTCTGTGTGATACCCTTAAGGAGTACCCTGCAATCAGATACCGCAAGTAAGCCTTTCATTTAACTACAATACAATTGTTTTGAAATTAAGTTTACTTATTCAACTGTCTACCTTTCTGTGTACAAGGGGACCAGAGGAGAATGCAAGACTGGCTGAGGAGGTCTACCAGCGCCTCACCGCTCATAAAGCAGACAACCCAAGCATGGGAGAGGTTAGTTAAAGCTTAGACCGCCCCCTCAAAGCAATTTGTATTTGCTGTACTGTATTAAGACAAACTCTATGGTGTCAAATGCTACACTGAATTTCTTCCCTGCTCTTCAATGCTAATCCATCTTTTTAATTAGGGTTTAAGCTTCCTTTGGAATTCTGCAACTCTTAGTGTTCACAGATCGTGGATCTCTTTGGTTTCTGGGTTTTATTCATGTTGAGTAATTTTCTCAAGCTTTTGCCAGACTTTTCTCTTTTCCCTTCTTCTTTTTTTCCCCCTTTTCGTAGCTGACATTTCCTCCTGAGATTGGTCTCAACAGGCATGTACCGTATTATTGTTCTCTTTTGCCCCCTTACACTTAAGATGCATCAGCATGCTGCGCTGTCCAAGCATTCACTGTTTTTTTATTGCACTTTAACCTTCTTTTTGCTCAAGTGCTGCCTCATACTGCACCCAAAGGTGATATTGAATGTATTAATAAAAGCTAACAAGGCTTTGACAGTTCAAAGGATGTGTGTTTACTGTTTATGTTAACTCAAACTAAGTCTGCATCCCAAGTTATTTATTATTATATATAATTTTTTCTTCATTACTTTCAAATACATTCTTTCATTGATAGTAATTTTTTTCTCCTTATGTTTTTTTCGTTAGGGTGCAGACAAGGCACGATCCCAGTTGCTGATAGTTGACCGTGGGTTTGACCCCATCTCACCAATTTTACACGAGTTGACCTTGCAGGCAATGGCCTACGACTTGTTGGATATCAAACAGGACATCTACACGTGAGTAAACACTTTTTATTTTGTACATCAGAAGTTGTTTCTTTGCCAGGTCATTTTCTATTTCTATTTTTTTTTTTTAAATGTACTTGTTCATTTCTTCTTCTTTTTTTAAGTTACCAGACAACAGGCATTGGGAATTCAAAAGATAGAGAAGTGTTATTGGATGAAGATGATGAGCTCTGGCTTCAGCTCAGACATATGCACATTGCAGATGTCACTAAGTAAGTCTATTCCTTTTAAAAATATATATATATTGGTCATATCTTTACATGAATAAATCCTTCTCTCATCCTTCCCAACAAGTACTTGACATTACAAGGTGTTCATCTGTTCAAGTTGACTTATCATCTTTAAAAAAACAATCTGTTGCAGGAAAGTGACAGAGCTACTTCGCACCTTTTGTGAGAGCAAGCGGATGTGCACCGACAATGTGAGTGTTCATTCGCAATACTGAATTTGTTTAAGTAAATGTTAGTCCTGTCCATGATATAACATTAAACCTTTTCTTTTTATTCAATGTCGAAAAATATTTTTTATTTCAGGCCAACCTAAAAGATCTCTCTCAGATGTTGAAGAAGATGCCACAGTATCAGAAGGAGCTGAGCATGGTAAAGAAGAAGGGAGCCCTCAAACTATTAGAATCATCATCTAATGATAGTCTTTTTTTTGTAAAGAGAGTCTTTCCTTGACAATCACAGATCAGGGCTTTTCGGGTGACAAAAGGCCCCCCCCCAAAAAAAAAATCAGTGCTCTGAACATGTTTTGAAAAAAAAAAAAAATTGCACAGATTAACTTTGGATTGAACATGTCTTCATTTGTTTGTTTGTTTTTGTTTTCCCAAAATATTATTAATCACGTTTCTTCATTCATTTTCCTATTCAGTACTCCACTCACTTGCACTTAGCCGAAGCTTGTATGAAGACGTTCAAGGCCTCGCTTGATAAGCTTTGTGAAGTTGAACAGGTCAGTACTGTTGTGGGTCTTACAACAAAAGGATAATATTCTTGATGTTTCATCAACAATGTGACTCCTACTAAAGAGCACTGTCATTTTAGCAACAAATCATGTGGACAGGTTCAAAACACTGCAAAGGTCCGGTTCAGTTCATCTACAATTGTATGGCCATGAAATGATTAAAGCTTTAGTCACAATGTACATCCGGAGTTGGAGATAAAAATAGAACTGTGATTATGGTCTCTTAATCCTAGAAGAGAAAGGCAACAGCTGATGACCATTAGGCCATTTAATTTTATATTCTTGGAATTTGTCTGCTCATGAGCTGCTGGCAAAACAATCTGTCATCTGTAGTTTTAATATCATGGGGGATCAAGTTATGTCCACTGTGTTAGTCACTGACCATAAGTATCTTAGAAAGAATGTCTGACATGGACTCATTCTACACACTATGTGACCTCGACATGATGTCTTAATTTATAGCTTCCCTGGGATACACTCTAAAGCCAGAGATGTGGTTTGGTGAATTCCATTGAGAATAGTAATGTTGCATAATAGGCTTGAGACCAGATGTCAATATTCATATATCTACTGAGATGCAGAAGGAGCTGTTATGTCATTACTAAGTGTAAAAGCATTTAATAACATGTATGTGTACTTGGTAATGTAGAAATCCTCCCATCAACATCAGTCTGGGATAAAGCCACAGTCCAGACCGATGTCAAGCTCCACTGTTTTGTTTTTTTGTGCCAGACATGCTTTGTCTCTCTGTGGGGAGGTATTCTGCCACATTTAGTCCTGTATCAGATGTAGCACAAGCACACAGGAAATGATAAGCTATGCATAGTTGGGGCTTTATGAGATGCAAGTGTTAATGGGGCCTTTTTATATGAGGGAATCACTCGGCTGCATTAATGGATTGTCAGCATCTCTGAAAGCTGCCTCTTTAATCCAACGGGCATGTTTTGGCTCTAAGATGGACAGTGTGATCCAAACAGCAACAGCTCTCTGTCAGCTGTCATTTGTTAAAGTGCTCTACATTGTTTGGGAAGCCCCAGACAAATGCATGTGTGTAATGTTATGAACAGAATGTTAAGTATATTTCTATGTTATCTTCTAGCCAATCTTTAGTTTCAGTTGTTGATTGGCTCTAACAAGGCTCAGTCCAAACTGAACATGAACAGTGCCTTGTCTTGCATTAGGGGGAAATCCCAAATCTACACTTTGCCCAAGCAAAGTAGCCAACATTTGTCAGTATTCTTGACTTTGGTTAACCATGGGTGTCCCACACAGGATCTGGCGATGGGAGCAAATGCAGAAGGGGAACCTCTTAAGGATGCAATGAAGAGCATTGTTCCTGTGCTGCTCAACAATGAAATTAAGGGTTATGACAAAATCCGCATCATACTGCTGTACATTTTCCTCAAGAAAAAAGGTGTGTCCATTTGTTTTTACCAATACATCATTTTCAAAGTCAGGTAACTGTATTTGTGTATGTTTATGTTAACATAAATTAGAGAGATTAGAATGACTAGAATTGTCGATATGAAGTGAAAAGTAGAGCATAATGTTTTATCATTGCCCTCTACATTTTCTTATGAAGAATCTGGTTATTTACGCAGGTATCGGGGAGGAGAACCTTGCCAAGCTCATTCAGCATGCAAACATACAAGCGGACAGCAACATCATCAACAACCTGCAGAACCTGGGTTGTAACATAATAGCTGGGGTAAGTGAATTGATCACAATTTGGTTTGTTTGAACATAGATCGATCCCCTAATTATTCGTTTCCCCTGTCTGTTGGGAATTAGGGCCGCAATGCTGGAAAACCCATGCCAGAGCGGAAGGAGCGCACAGAGAGCACATACCAGCTCTCTAGATGGACCCCCACCATCAAAGATATAATGGAGGTATTTAATCCAATAACTTAACTGGTGTGATGTTTCAGGAAGACGTTTCACCTATTCATACAGGCTTTCTTTGTTTTTAAGAATGCCATCGAGGACAAACTGGACAGAAAGCAGTGGCCATTTATCTCTGATCCTGCTCCCATCAACACCACTCAGACTGCCGTAAGGTTGGTGAAAAAAACATTTTTATCATGAATGAACAGCACATAGATACACGATTAATCATTAGCTTGTTTTTGGGGGGTTGGGGTTGACAAAAAGTTTAAAAGGTAAAACGAAAACAGTTTGACTTTGAATTCCAGATAATCCCACAGAGAATTCCTTTCACGATGAAAGTGCTTACACAAACCACTCTCAAAGACCAGGGATCATTCATAATCTTTTTAATGCACAATGTGTGTCTACTTCCTTCTTCACAAAGTGCAGAATTAAATCTGAGTGGTCAATAATGTTAAGACAACCATATAGACTGGTTACAGAAACCGGACGTGGCAGTTGGAAATGCACTTCTTTGATTTGCAGTGGTGGAGATCAAAAGACAATAAAATAGTGCAATATACACTTAAACTTAGTGTTTAATTAGCAATGTGCCTCACTTTCTCTGTGCTGACTTATAACTAAACATCTGTAGCTGATAGCGAGCAATTTTTATCTCAATCTCATTTTTAAATCTGACATACTGTTAGGATTTGTTGTTTTGTATTGTTACAATGAAACTTACTGCTTACTAATGCAAAGTAACCTTTTTTTAATAACAATGACTTTAAGCTCACCCTTTTTCAATTGTTTAAATTATTTTACAGTAGTGCACGGTTTGGACACTGGCACAAAAATAAATCCCCAACAGAGTATCGCTCCGGCCCTCGGCTTATTATATTTGTGATCGGTGGAGTGTCACACTCAGAGATGCGCTCAGCTTATGAAGTCACCCGGGCCACTGACGGGAAATGGGAAGTGTTGATTGGTAAGAAATCGCATGACATTTGTCCCAAGATGCACAATTTATTGGGTTTTGCCTTTTCATATAATGAGTATAATTTTTCCCTTCACAGGATCATCTCACATCTTGACTCCCACCAGCTTCCTGAATGACCTGAAGAGTCTGGACCAAGTTCCAAATCCTGATTGTTAGTTAGACCCCGAGTAGGGGCTAGCAAAGCGGAATAAGGGTCTTTCATTTGAGATGATTTGTTGCTGAGCTTCTGTCGTAGCATCACTGTCCTCTGAAGTGAAACATGAAGAGAAATATTTTGTTTATATTTGATGTGGCCAGGCAAGGAAACATTTGTGATTCTTGTTGTGTTTATTCGGTTTTAGATGTTCCCGATATTGTTTTCCATTTGCCGTTGTGATTTAAATTGTATTAAAATATTTAATAAGGAGATGTTAATATTTTATTAAGAAGTTATAACAGGATATATTTGATTTCTGTAATTATCATATGTAAACTGGATCATTACCAGCCAAATATCTTATTATAGTCTAATTTGTATGTAAAAAAAAAAAGGTCAGTAGAAGTTTATATTGAATGTTCATTGACATGAGTTTTTTTTCCCTCTAGCTACTTTTTCTTTTTAATTTTTTGGGAGATTTAATCTCAGACTAAAGTCTCACCTGCTGTCTTACGAAATCTTGCACATTTAGAATCTACGTTAATATATTGCTTTGAACAAGTGTGACGGGTGTTTAAGTATGACTAATAAAGGAAACATTATATTCACTCTAATTGTCATGGAATTATTTTTTTGAGTGCGTCACAAATTCATGGAAACTTAAATTCTTTGTCAAACAAGTTGATCCTGAAGTTAAGAGTCCTCACAACTTTACTTAATAATAACGTGAATATTATTTTATATCGCAGCTTTAAAAACTGATGTTTACAAAGTGCTTCGACGGACAAAGCAAAGGCATGAACACAGGACAGTAACAGAATAGACGTCAACAGTCAGGCCAAACAGCAAGAAGTCTACAGAAATAACAAATGCAAATACAAGGAGTAAGAAAGATACAACAGGCAGATCTCAAAAGGCCGTTGAAGCTTTAAAGCAATACAAATTAAAATCAACAGTATGATTTTAAAAATAAAGACGATGACAAATCATTGTGGACTTATTTAAAGTCCTCCAATCTTCTAGAAATGTGTGTCCTTTGGAGGGGTTATTCATATTTATTTGTGTCCTATGTAGTACTTAGCACCCCTTTAGCAGTACAGACTTCGTGAGGTTATTTGTAACAGCCTTCTGGTAGCAAGGTAATGTGGTGAAAATATATTTTTAAATGCATTAACTTCTTCAGATTTAACTGGCTTAAGTTTGTCAAGTATGTCTTGCTCCATAGCGCCCACAGCGGTACATAACCACGTTGACATGTCCGTTCCTCAGCCAGCTTCTACAAATGGGGGCTGTACTAACTGCCATCTACTTAAGTAAAACACTATTTATTAATAAGTACCTCTTTCAACTCAAGAAATCCCAAACAATTTCTTAAACTGAAAAAATATTCAAATTTAAAGCATTCAACATTGAGTACTTTTTTGCCCTTTGAATGATACATTTTGTGACTGCAAATCAATTTCCCATTATACTTTTTCACCAATATCCCTGATCTGACATTACTTTATATGTTGTTTTTGCACTGTTTCAAAATGTTTGAGTTTGACCTTGCTTCTTTGTTAACTATCAAATGCTTAAACCAAGGTGTAAAACATAATGCCTATCATACAGATGCATGGATTGTATGACACTGGTGGCAGTTTGGTTCATCTAAAAATTGCAACCCGGGCATATGTCTGTACTCTTGATACAGACAGTGTGTGGGCTGGTGAATGCAACAAAAAAAGATCTTTAAGTACAGCATTGGGTCATAAGGGAGAACATATACACCTAACATTGAAAAAAGATCATCTCCCTCCATGCAGAGGATTATGTTTTCATCTGGGATTACACATGGTAATATTAAGATCGGTGCTCTGGCTGGGGTCTTAATGGTAATGGGTTAATACTCAGGTCTTAACTCTATTTAAAAGCCCTCCACCAAGCCATATCTAACACACATTTGGACTACCATCAATCAGGATCATCATTTCCACTGCATAAACAAGTGTTCCATTAAAGATGTATTGACAGTATTCTCAATATAGAAAATAAATTGGCGAAGAATCTGTATTGTTTCACAATTTGACAAGTTTTCATCTGGGGACCCTTTCGAGTACTTTGTCATGATGGCAGCTGCTGAAGTGGACTTAAAATCAGAAGCTGCCAACACTGTGCTGGTAAGACATAACAGTCTTCTCTTTCCTGGTCAGCACCTTGTTTGGATTCCTTATGTTTGATGCTTTTATATATGTAACATAAATGATTACATCTTTATGTTTTTGGTTCAGAATTGTGTATAACTCTACAAAATGACCTGAAGAACCAAATATTTAAAGTTTGAAAGTGAATTTGATTGTTGTCACAATTATTTGTCACAGTTTGATGACAATATCTCCCTGTATTTGAATATGTGTTACTGTACTTTATGTGTTTTCATTTCATATTGATTTTCAACCTCAACATGCGCTTCAGGACTTTTCTCATGATATGGATTAAAGATTAAAGATTGTTTGTTAGCGATAAATATTTTCTGTTAAGATGATTGAACTGATTGGTGTAACTGATTCACTGCAGAGACTAACATTGTCAAAAGGTTGCAACAGTAATAATAAACATTTGCTTTTACCCTGGCTGATGTTCACAGGAAGCCCCAGAGCAGGAGCAGATACTCAACATAATGAGTTACTCACAGCGCGGACGAATGGAAGAACAGCGTTGTGCCTTAGGTCCTGTTACAACTCTGCAAATCAAAGCTACAACTACAGGTCAGTTCATCAGATTCCGTCTGACTTGTATCTGTCCTTTTGTAGATTGATTGTTGATTGTCTGATCCTTGCTTTTTACAGGCTTAAACACTGAGAAGCAAAACTTTGATGACCTGCAGGCGCCATTGCCAGGGTTTAACAACCAGGTACTGGCTAGACTAATGCTTCTAAACAGCCCAGTGCTTGTACATGCTCAGTTGGTTTGATGAATAAATAGCGAAAGTCTTTTCCTAATGTAACCTTTTTTTCCAGGGACTTGGAGGTCATAATCATCATGGCTCTACACCTCAGATCTCTGTGATAGAGAGTACCCCAGATAGAAACAGGAAGCTTCTGCTTGCACCAGTCAACCAGTTACAGGTTCCCTCTCAGCAAGACCTCTCAAATTCAATCCAGGTATGATATGTCATTCTGGTTGTTCAAATTATTTATTTTTTTACTTACTCTATTGACTAAATGCCATTAAATTGTGTTAATAATCCTCATTTGGTCTACTCAGTGCCACATGTTTTTTTTTCTAATAGACAGAGTCCTCTGAAGAAGAACAGAAGTTTATAAATATGGTCAGCCATGGCCAGCGTGGACGCATGGACGACCAGCGCTGTTCCTTGAATCCTAGCAGGAGTGCTCCCTGCACGCCCAAACACACAGACAAAAAGCCTGCAAGTACATCAAAAACAGGTGAGAGTAAAAACTTGAGGTAAATTGCAGCATGTGTTGCAATTGCCACTTAGCATTTTTCCTGATCTAGGTTTAGACTAGTTGTAATTTAATTATATTATATAATAATATAATAATGAATATAATATAATATATTCATAAAGTCAATTATCTATTTACCATCCCAGGCCCAGATTCTGATTTGTTCTTCAACCTCTTGGCCAACACCCAGAGCCGTCGGCTCGATGACCAGCGAGTGTCGCTCCCATCATTACCAGGATTACAAAATGATAAAGCCACATCTAATGCTGGAGGAGATTCAAGCTACTTGTGTTACATGGTCTCTAAAGTTCAGGTTAGTTTCTTTTATTTTTCAGATTAAGAAATATTTGATACAGACATAGTAATTGATTGATTTGCGTATCAGTAGACTTTGGTGACAACAGCTCTGACTTTAAATGTTTTAAACAAGAATGTGGAAAAAATATCTGCCTCGTACAATGATATTTGTAAGATTCTACCAAAAGTTTGAAAAGCAAGATATTTATGGACAACTGTTTAACTGTTCACAATATTTGGCTGTTTTTTTTAAATGAAAATGTCCTTTTTTTAAATTTAATACAGCGTGAAATTGTGTTTCTTACAGAAAAGAGGTGATGTGTAATGTGTAACTTTATAAGGATTTAAGCATTTAATCACATTTTTACATGGGATGATAGCTCCTTGTGGCACTTTGAATTCCCTTGTTTATGAGATGTGCTATAGAAATATCCTTGACTTGATAGTTCACTAAAAATAATGTGGTAATATTTTTTTAAAGAACCATTCATCCTAAAAAAAGACTGAAGAAAACTGCTCATTGCATTTTCAGGCTTCAAGAATGGATGACCAAAGATGCTCTCTACCTCAAATAACAAAAAAGGACATGAATACATCTGCTTTAGGCCCTCCACGTTCAGCCTCCTTCAGCCCCAGCTCAGAAATAGAACGACCAAAGAATAAAGACACAACATCTCCAAAACAGGTAATAATCGAGCTATTTGTATGTCTCTCTAAAATTACAAGATTTCAACACATGCCCTAAACATCCACTGTAAACTTTTTCCCTTTCTAGAGCCTAAATCCAGCTGAGCAGGAAGGTTTTTTTAATCTAATGAGTCATTCACAACGTGGTCGAATGGATGAGCAGCGATGTGTCCTAAATGTCAGTCCCCAGTCCAAGCCCAAACAGAAGTCCAGTGAGAGCACTGTGCCCAAAGGTAAGAATAAAAACTTATTTGTCTTTCTTATTTTTCCAGATTTCTTTCATTAATGCTAATATGTAATAATTGCTTACATATTTGATCCCAAAAATTATGTCCTTTTTCGCCTTTTCAGGTCCTGATTCTGACAAGTTTTTCAGCATTTTGGCCAACTCTCAGGGCCGTCGGCTTGATGACCAGCGAGCAGTTCTTCCTTCCTTGCCAGGAATAAAGAATGGAGGTCCCACTCCAAAATCTACAGCTGCAGAGAAGGACGCAAACCAGTTGTGTTACATGGTCTCCAAAGTCCAGGTTGGCCCCATCATTGACAGTTCTTTTGACATCCTCCACACATTTTTTAAGAGATATAAGAAGTAGAAAAAAATTCAAGAAAGTGCCTTTGTCTAACATTATAACCATAAATCCTATCCCACAGGGCTCAAGAATGGATGAACAGCGATGTTCTGCCCCTCAAATCCTGCAGAATCTGGGTACCCCTTCAACTCAGCGTAAAGATAATCCCATTTCACTCTTGTCTGATAAACCTCCCCAGAGGTCTTCCTCCTTTAACACTACCAAAACTGACCAGCAAGTTCAGGTGAGAGTTCATGTTGCGTTATAGAAAGCATATGGGCGGCTGTGGCTCAGTTGGTAGAGTTGTCATCTCTCAACCGAAAGGTTGAGGGTCCGATCCCCCTGCTGGGCAACATGTCCGATGTGTAGTTGGGCAAGACACAACCCCGAATTGCTCCCGCTGCTAAGGTGGTGGTGTATGAATGGCATTAGTTACTTCTGATGGATGATACTACATATCGACTACTGCCATCAGTGTGTGAATGTGTGGGTGTGACATGCAGTGTAAAAGCGCTTTGAGTAGTCATCATTTAAGACATTAAAATGACATTATGAGACCCATCTTCAGCAGTCTTTCGAGAAACACTGTGGTTGTTTAAATTCACCACCCCGATTATTTTCAGGGGCAGCCTCTGTTGGCTTAAGTTGTTTGTGTGTCTTCATCTTGCATTTCTTTCTCAATTATTCAAGGAGGCTTCTCCAGCTGAGCAGGATCAATTCTTTAAGATGATGAATCATGCACAAAGGGGACGTATGGATGAGCAGCGTTGCTCTTTACAACCCAGCAGAAGTACTCCTGTCACACCCACACACAATGGAAGTGCTTTGAATAATGTGCCCACAGGTTAGAATAACACACATGGCACAGAAGGTCAACTATGTGTTTTCTGTCTGGGAATCATCACAGTCATAACTCTTGACTCTCCATAACAGGTGCAGAAGATACATTCTTCAAGGTCATTGCCTCCAGCCAGGGACGACGTCTAGACGATCAGCGTGTTGCCCTCCCTACCCTGCCAAGGATAGGAGGAAACTCTAAAGGAAAAGAAAATGGTAGAAATAAAAAGTCTGAAATCCCAGTAAGTTGTCAAAATTCACATTTTTGCAATTCAAACATAAATACTATTTTCAAATGTTGCTAAAGTTAGGTCCCTGATACCTCAATGTCATCCCCTCAAGAAATACTTAGTATGAAGGATGTGCCTGTCAGTGACAAAGCTCATTGTTGTGCCAGCCATGCTGTCATTTAAGGGCTATCTATAACATATCTATGTCATACTTGTACTCTAGGTATAGATGATTAGATGAGCTAAATAGTTTATGGAGCTCCTTAATAGCTGTAATTCTGATATGGATATTAAACAAAATTGTGAAGAAGAAAAGTATGTTGATGTGCTTTTGCTTTAATAAAGGAATCTCAGCCACAATGGACGATCATACATGAAGGTCACCTGCCTTTTGTTTCCATTTTTCTTCTGTAAGGCTCTACCACACATCACTGTGGCTGAAAGTACACCAACAACATCAAGGAAAGCCTGTTCCACTCAACTCAACATGGCTTATGCAGAGTCAGGCTCCCCTCGAGCCATTCCTAAATCTGCTTCATATACCCCTGAGACAGAATATCAGATGCTAAATTCATCAGCACAGGTAACTTGTTTAAATATACCAGTGTTCTAACTTCATCAGAAGAGTGACTGCTGTGTAAAAATAATATTAAATATGTAGATGACATACAAAGTAACCTTACCATAATGCATTTCCCAATTATAATTATAAGATGTATTAATTAATTTCACAGGTGACCGTGAAGGTGTCTATGAGCTTCACACCACAGCAGGTAAACTATGCCACAGTTTGTGAAGTTATTGTCTCCTTTAAATATGCCTAGCTAACTCTGTGCTTTTTTTTACTCTTATCTGTCAAAGGGGCAGAGGAAAATAATTCAACCATGTACATTCCCTGAAGTCTTCCTCACTCTGGGAGCCCCAGGAGATAACCTTGTGATCCCTCTGAGCCCGGAACCTGGCAGACGCCTGTCCTTAAACTTAAACCTCGTACCAAAAGACGATGTTTGGTCCAGGCCATCCTCTCCAAGCCATGCAAGTCCAAGAAAAGTTTGCTCTAGACCATCATCTCCAAATCCAGGAGCAAATAAAGGGGATCCTAAAAAGGGGAAGGAAAAGTTACATAATGGAAAGGGAAAGGGGGGTGGCAAAAAAAGATAGCAATGGTGGAATTGTGAGGTAATCTATTGAGGACAGCAACAAGAGGGATATGTGAGGTATGTGACCTGGAAATAATTAATATATAAGCGTAAGGTCTATACCTGCACTTTTTGTTAAGTGTCTTGAGATTACATTTATTATATATTGGCGCTATACACATAAAGATTGATCGGGTTGGATTGATAGTATATTCTATTGAAATTGTAGTTGTAATTTTTAAATGCCTGTGCTCACTGATCTCTCACTAACTAAACTAATCTTTAACTTTTGTTTAGAAAAATACTCTGCATCAATTTGTACATTGTATGTTGTTTTGAGCGTGTGGTGTCTAAGAACATATGGCTTTGCTTTTTCAAATCTAAATGTTACATGTTAAATCAAAGGATGAAAACTATGATAAACTTTGACAAAGCTAACAAAGTTAACCAAACCTAATTGCCAATTCATGTTTACTCTTCACAAGTTAAACACAATTGAAAATGTAGACTGAAGCATACTTGTAATGTTTTCACCGGATGAATACAATAAATTTGTGTTGTGTCTTAACAGCACATGATGAAAATGTGCACACCTGCTGTCCTTAACTAAAATCACAACAATTACATTAGCCAGAATTTGGTTTGGTTATTATACACACTGTGTAAAGTAACAAACGAACACCTGATAAATGTAAATAATTTATTGAAGATTGATTTACAGAAGTGGCTCATATTGTATGAACTCTGTTGAAATTCTTCAGCTGGTGTTGTGTTTCATTCTGCAGAGTCAGTTCCCTTAAAGACAGAGAGTACTTTAGTTTAGTACTTTTAGGCAGTGGAATAAATACATTTCAGCATGTATCAATGAAAAAAGCAGTTAAACATTTTAAGGAATGACAAATCTAAGTTTAGCTTCTGATAATCTTGATGAGTAATACATGACAATATCAAAGACAATGAAAACGTTACCTTTCCAACATCACGGCTCTTGACTCTCAGCTTGTTGACCTGGGTCTCAGCGATGTCAGCACGCTCCTGAGCTTCCTCCAGCTCATGCTGAACCTTTCTCAGCCTGGACATGTGAGTGTTGGCCTGCTCCTCCTGGGAGGGGTTTACAGTTTTATCAGTTAAGTTGTGTAGGGTTTTATTGTGACTGCTTCAAAGGAATGATTTGTGACATTATTGTAGTTCACTTACAGCCTCCTCAGCCTGTCTCTTGTAAGCCTTGACTTTAAGCTGCAGCTTGTCCACCAGATCCTGAAGCCTGGTCACATTCTTCTTGTCCTCCTCTGTCTGTTATAATAAAAATGGTCACTTAGGCAGTACTGAAGAAGAAAAAAGCAGCAGCAGGAAAAGTATTATTTGAAATTTCCAGTTCAACAGTTTAAAACTACAGTGACAAGAACACTCCTTAATGGAAAATATTAAATCACAAAAAGTTGCATCCGTATATGCTTATAAGCATAGGCACAATCTTAATATAGCTAGATATTGGTAGAAGATAATATACTGTTTGATAATCATAGCTGCCTTAAATGGAAAAACTTCAGATACTTTACATAAGTTACAATTACCTTTACTTTTGCTTATGTACAAATATGATATGATATACTTATTACTTAGAGTTTAAAAAAATAATAATGACCTGGTAGGTCAGCTCTTTCACTCTCCTCTCATATTTGCGAACTCCTTTAACAGCATCAGCTCCACGTCTCTGCTCAGCTTCAACCTCAGCCTCCAGCTCACGCACCTGTGATGTGCACATTTATTATCAGAGTTTTGTAGAAGGACTTAATTGCAGTTAAATAAGCTTTTGAATATTGGAATAAACTTGTGCATACCCTGGACTCTAGTTTCTGGAGCTGCTTCTTGCCACCCTTCATGGCGAGGTTCTCTGCCTCATCCAGTCGGTGCTGCAGGTCCTTGACTGTGACCTCCAGGTTCTTCTTCATCCTCTCCAGGTGAGCACTAGTGTCCTGCTCCTTCTTCAGCTCCTCAGCCATCATGGCGGCCTGAAATAAATAATATCTTACTAATAGTGTACTTGTCTTTTAGCCATTAGCATGATGAGGTAAGTTAGAGAGATATGCTCACATCAGTGATAGCCTTCTTGGCTTTGTCCTCAGCATTTCTTGCTTCCTGGATTGAATCATCCACCTCACCTTGAACCTGGACGAAGTCAGCCTCCAGCTTCTTTTTGGTGTTCAGAAGACTAGTGTTCTAAACGATAAAGAAAAACAAAGTTTAAGATTGCGTAATGTATTTTAAACAATATGTTTTATTGAATAAGAAGAAAAAATACCTGAGAGTGAAGCAGTCCGACTCGCTCACTGGCATCAACCAGCTCCTGTTCAGCCACTTTGCGTCCTCTCTCAGTCTGCTCCAGAGCAACTCTCAGCTCCTCAATCTCAGCCAGCATGAGGCCATTTCTGCGCTCCACCATGGCAACCTGTTCCTTCATGTCTTCCTGACCTCTGATAGCATCATCAAGGTGCAGTTGGGCATCCTGACAACATTAGAAAAAAAATTAACAATCTACATGTAGAAGGTTTTTATTTGTTTTGACCAAGTAAGTATAAAACTCACCTTGAGCTGTCCCTGGACATTCCTCAGTTGTTTTTGGGACTCAGCAGCCTGCCTGTTGGCATGGCTCAACTGAATCTCCATCTCATTCAGGTCTCCCTCCATCTTCTTCTTAATTCTCAGGGTGTCATTTCTGCTCCTGACCTCAGAGTCAAGGTTGCTCTGCATGGAGTCAATCACTCTCTGACTGTTCCTCTTGATCTGTTCCATCTCCTCATCTTTCTCTGCCAGCTTCCTGTCAACCTCACCTTTGACTTGGTTGAGCTCAAGTTGAACACGGAGAATCTTTGACTCTTCATGCTCCAGTGTACCCTATAAGAAAAGTCAGGTAAGGATGTCATGAAATTTAAATGACTTCGTTTTTTTTACCTTATTATACGACTTTGTTAACAACTTTTATATTCATATTTGCATTAAAAACATACTTAATAGAAAGCAAAATACCTCAGCTTCCTCAAGGGCAGTCTGAATTTCAACCTTCTCACTTTCGACAGCCTTCTTGGCTTTTTCCAACTCATGGATGCTTTTTCCAGTCTCCCCAATCTGTTCAGTAAGATCTGAGATCTCCTCTACAGATTAAATACAAGAAAGAGCCACATGGTTAGATTATTTTTATGTTCATGATTATTGTTGTTAATATTGTTAATTTAAAAGCAGTTGACATACGCTGCAGGTTCTTGTTCTCTCTCTTCATGGTCTCCAGTTGATCCAGCGACTCCTCATAAGAGTTCTTCATCTTGAAGAGTTCAGTGCTCATTGAGCGAGCCTCCTTCTGAGCTCCTTCCAGCTCTGCCTGGCTCTCCTCATACTTCTGTTTCCATTCTGCCAGGACCTACAATAATACAGATTAATTAAAAATCTTACTTCTCTGTTTTTGCAACTTGCCCTGCATTGAGTTGGGTTGGTTTTCTACTGTAACTACCTTATCAAAGTTCCTCTGCTTCTTGTCTAGATTGGCAGCCAGAGCATTAGCTCTCTCCACATCAATCATGAGGTCCTCCACCTCACCCTGCAGTCTCTGCTTGGTCTTCTCCAGAGAGGCACACTTGGAGTTTACAGCCTCAATGGATTCTTCTGCATCCTGCAGACGCTGGGCAAGCTTTTTCCTGAGTAGAAAGAACTTTTGTATTTGATTCTGCAAAATCATTATAAAATGTTATGATAATAAATTAAAAGTGTCTACATTTATGAACAAATAAAAAAATGGATAGTGACTAACTTTGCCTCCTCCAGCTCCTCAGTGCGCTGGATAGCATCAGTCTCATATTTGGACCTCCACTGAGCCACCTCACTGTTGGCCTTGGACATTCCTCGCTGCAGCTCAGCCTTGGCCTCCTGCTCCTCCTCAAACTGCTCTCTGAGCAGATCACAGTCATGGCGAGCAGACTGAACAGCATGGGCCAGTGCGTTCTTTGCCTGTTAAGCACACAGTCCATGTCAAACTGACATTTTACATACTGATGTAAATACATGAAAATGTAAAATTCTTCTTCGATATTGGAAAAAGTCATTTCGTTTTCATACCTTAATTGAGAAAAGCAATTTGAATTGAAATGTTTGTTGTCAAGTGTATCTTATTAAGTTTGCAATAAGGGAATTTGGTCAGTGTTGTAGCTTCTAGATATCTTAATAACCGCTCAATATGAGTTCCTGTACCTTCACTTCCTCCTCAATGTGTCTCTTTAGTTCCTCAATCTGCTGAGTGTAAGCCTGTTTTCCTCTGGTGAGCTGGGAAATAAGAGCGTCCTTCTCCTCAAGCTGGCGACTTGACTCACCTGAAGAGAGTAAAGAGTAATAATTTTAAAAAGGTGTCTTAGATACCCCAAAAAAAAATTGACTTAAATGATGGCCAACACATAAGGGACCTATTAAGATATAGAAATGTTATATTTCTTTAAAAACTACAACATGAAATACACAACAGGTAAGAATACATTTACAATTAATGACATTAAATGTACAAGATTTAGATTTAGATAAAGATAATTTAAAAAAGGAAAATCTAAATAACTTTGCAGTCACAATAGGGTATCAATGTAAACATTCATGATTTTTGACCAGGAGAAAAACTGATGTGAAAATAACACAAGACATTTAATATTATTGGTAACACACCATTCTCTGTTTGCAGTCTTGCCCTCTGTGCGCTCAAATCATTTAGCTGTCGAACGTTCTCATCATTTTTGGACTTGATTTCACTTAATTGGTCCTCAAGTGTTCGGCACATTTTCTCCAGATTAGACTGAAATCAAGATGTAAATAAAATGACTTTAATGCAGTGAATATCATACTCACAAACTAGAACTTCTGTAATTATTCTCCATTCTTGCAAATTTGTAAACATACCTTAGCTTTAGCAACAACCTCCATGTTGCTTGAGAGGTCATCAATCTCCATCTTGAATTCACTCTTCTCCTTCTCCAGCTTCTGCTTCACACGCTGGAGGTTGTCGATCTGCTCTCCCAGCTCTGCAACACTGTCAGCCTGCTTCTTGCGGAGAGCTGCAGAAGTAGCTTCATGCTGCAGGGTGGACTCTTCAAGATCACGACGCATCTTCTGGAACTCAGCCTCACGTTTCTTGTTCATCTCAATCTGAGCAGCTGTTGCTCCACCAGCTTCCTCAAGCCTCTCACTGATCTCCTCAAGCTCCCTGGAGAGGTCAGCTCTCTGCTTCTCCACCTTGGCCCGAGCAGCCCTCTCAGCCTCAATCTCTTCCTCCAGCTCCTCAATACGAGCCTAGAAATAATGGTAAAGATGACTTATTGACTGGAAGAAATTCCTCATAATTCCCAGAGTCTATTATGTCTCTCATGTCTATTATGTAAATCAAATGTGTACCTGGAGCTCCTTGATCTTCTTCTGAAGCTGAGCACCAAGTGACTGTTCATCCTCAATCTTGCTGATGAGCTGGCTGATCTCAAAGTCTTTCCTTGAAGTTTAAAACAACAAGAATTGATACATTGCTGTTTTATAGTTACATTTGCATATGAAATTGTCATCA